ACAAAATGATTGTACATTTGCAAAGTCTTGATTGGAATTATCTGTATGTTTGCAATATATTAAACCAAATCGATTTGTGGAAAGCCATTGTTCCTCACTCCATTTTACTTGGAATATTGGATTACGAAACATGGAAATAATCCTAATATGGAATCCTTATTCTCTTCTTTTTATAGCAAAGTAAAATTTGAACATGATATGCGTATGTGGAAAAATATCTTATATTCAGTGCACTACTAACATGTACACATTCTATAATTCTCTCTAGGCGTTCAATAATTCATCCCTCCCATATCCCATCAGGCAATATCGATAATTTATCATGATTCAGTGTGACGATTTTATTCAAGAGATCATTATTTTTTACAACATACGAATCGAAAAGCATCGATTCTTACACACGCAATATGATGTATATATCATGAACATGTATGAACACTCATTAGTTTGCTGAAAACATCTGTATATTTAGAGGACTGCAGAGCATGGACAATCATTGGTGGCACAAGATCACCGCCTGGCTGCTACCTTCCAGTTTGTCTGTGGTTCGTCAGTGAATGTGAGATGTAATTTTCATGAACGAAACTATATAAATCTAAACATCACTATTCTAAGAATAGATATTAATCGATAAATCAATTAATCTTTCCACCACTTAATGCTAACTCGTGATGTGCTTCTTTGTGAAGCCTTTTCCCCATCCTTGGTTTTGATGCAAATGTTGATTGTCATGGGAAAATCTCACATGATTAATCCATTAATATTCTCTCTGGAATTTCCCGTATCTGAAACCACCTCTGCCTTTTAACAGCTACAAGTCTCTTGGCAGACCTGACATACCCTTGATAACACTATGTAACACAATTTTTGTTCTTGGGTAATAAGTGTTATTTCGTAATTGCTTATGCCTATAAAGTATAGAAAATGGCGATTATTCCCCACAAACTCTGCTTTTGTGACCAGGATAGTGATATTTTGAAATTTACCTATTTTCAATGAGAAAACGGGTGACCTTGTGTCTTTTAGTTCACATAAAGTCAGAAAAAAAAAACATGAATCAAAATTAACATGTATTTATATGAAAGTAATGCAAAAAATACTACAAAAGATTTAGAAGTGAGTAGTTTTTCGAGATTTACGATTATACTGTAAATCACTTTCACGAATCAGTCTCCAAATGTAGTCTCCCATCATGTTTTCATTGTACTGTCCTTGGTAGCAGCGTTCAAAGTCAAATATATCCTGGTGGAAGCGCTCGCCTTGCTCCTCCGAGTACGCTCCCACGTTTTCCTTGAATTTATCAAGATGAGCATCAAGGATATGGACTTTGAAGTACATCCTACAGCCCATTGTGCCGTAGTTCTTCACCAGAGTCTCAACCAGCTCCACATAGTTTTGGACCTTGTGATTGCCCAGGAAGCCACGAGCCACTGCGACAAAGCTGTTCCAAGCCGCTTTCTCCTTACGAGTGAACTTCTTGGGGAATTCATTGCACTCCAGGATCTTCTTTATCTGTGGTCCGACGAAGACACCGGCTTTGACCTTTGCCTCAGACAGCTTATGGAAGAAGTCTTGAAGGTACTTGAAGGCTGCCGACTCCTTATCTATAGCTCTGACAAATTTTTCATAAGGCCCAATTTGATGTGCAGTGGTGGCATAAGCACCTTTCAGGGGTCCACCAGTGGCTCCCACTTGACGTTGTTCCTCCCCACATAGAACTCGGTGGCCAGTCCCACCTGTGGTAGTGCGCCTTGGTGTCTAAATCTGTTGTAGTAATTTTTGTATTATTTTAGTATAATAACATGTTAATTTTGATTCATATGTTGTTTTTTCTGACTTTATGTGAACGAAAAGACACAAATTCGCCCGTTTTCTCATTGAAAATAGGTAAATTTCAAAAGATCACTGTCCTGTTCACAAAAGCAAAGTTTGTGGGGAATAATAGCCATTTTGAGGCATAAGCAATGAGGAAATAATACTTACTAGGCAGGAACAAAATAAATAAATTTGTTACATAGTGTAATTATCCTTACTGCTCTGAAGTAATTAAAATTTCCAAAGTATAGGAAGCACAGTCCTAGATGGGCATAGAAAAGCTTGGTGATGTAATAGTGTCCCCATTCGGGCACAGTGATTCAAGAACTGTCCCTTGCCCATGAGTTCATCCCACCCCCTTCCATCCCGCTTGGGGTGGTTTTGACTCCCTCTGGCTTTACGTCGAGCCTCCAGAACATTAAACATTGCACGTGTTCTGTTGTTTCGCTATTATGCATAGAATGAATAGTTAATCTCGGGAGCATGTGCAAGGAACTGGTGCATTGGCATTTGCGATTGTGCTGAAGACGAAAACGTTGGACACTGTGCGGAACGACACGCGGTACAAGCAGAAAACGCATCGGAAAGCAACGTGGTAAAAATAACTAAACGCATGAATGTGATTGCTTTTAATCTTCTTCAATTCTTGCATCCTACCACTGTATCAAACCACACCCTCCCACCCCCATCACCAAGGTTTAAATCCGGGATAAAATAATGATCTTCACAAGATGCCATTCACTGTGACATTTCAAATCCACGCTCCTAACAAGCGCTCAACCGCTATGCCGCATAAGCGCAACCAAAACGCGCACTGCATTTAATTGTAGTGCATTGCATCATTCTCTAATAACAAAAATTATTGCAGAATTTTAATGCTGCATATTTTGCGTACACCGATGGGAGGGGTAATCTGCAATGTGACAGTAAGTGTATTGTCTGCAAATCGTAGCTCTCCACTGTGTTTTATAATAAATCTCCCAAAGCAGGTCCCAGCACATGGAGTGAAACATGGGTCATCGTGCCCAACAGCAAACGCTACAACCCGACACACACTTCGGATGGCTCCGCAGCACAACTGTAAAAACCTATGAAGTAGTTTCTGAAATCATATTAAAGCAAGCGCTCATTTTGCATGAACGCCGGGAGCTGTACGTACCATGTATCACCGCAGAAAGTTGACCCCCGAGCAAAGCATGCGCATTGTTTCATCTGCAAAAAGAACCAAAGTATTTAGGGTTTTTTTTTGCCTGGTGACTCGGGTCTCTGTCGGACAGGCCTGGGCTGGAGCGGTGCATTATGCTTCACTCATGTGGCCAAGGTCGCTAATCTGTCTTCTAGCCCAGCCAGACGCGCGGGATTAAGCGATGATACCCTCATCCTGCTTGCGATGGCACGTGTGGCGGAGCGACGGTAGCCCGGGGCCAAGCCGTAAGCCTCCCGCAAAACTCGGCGGCAATCTTTTACAAAAGGAGGGCAATTACAGTGCAATCCATTTTTTGGGGGGGTTTTGTTTAAAAAGCTTGTCTCTTTTCACTCGCTCACATGTTTGATCTATTTGTGATTAATGATGTGCCGAATATGTTTTGAAGAGACGTGCCTCTTGAGTAAACATGATATGAAAGACCCATGCTGTGTTAAAGGCTTAAATGGTCGGCATGTGTGTCAGTTTGCTGGGAATTATAACTTTTGACGAATAACCTTATAAATGTTGAAATAAAAACGGTTGGATTCATGAGAGCACATAATACAATATTTTGCGATACATATTTGTACAGCGGGGTTTGTCGCTTAAAAAAAATCGCTTAAAAATGGAACCATGGCCGATGTCTTTGGTGACATCATTTAGCCAGTAATAAACATTCCAACCCGCACAATTGCACACACTGCAATTGTACAAAAGGACAAACGCATTCTTGCACTCACACTTCTTTTTGGCACCTACATATACACGCGTACGTACACACGCAGGCACACAAATCGTCCTCCACGAATTGTCTCGCACAGCATTCAATTGTTGACAAACAGCCAACATCAGACCCACGCAGGGCCCCTTTCACCTGCGGTGCATGTCGGCCCATTATTACCAGCGTATCACTGAGGATGAGAATCGTTTTTATCTTTATTTAAAATTAACCTTATGGCGGGACCCCGGGCTCCCGAATAAACAGAAGTCAAAATAGTAATGAATTAATTTATTTTTTAGCGCCTCCGTCCCACCGCGCACATAAACGCCGCGACCCACCTGGCGCGGATCATTCTGTTGTCGTGTCGTCCAAGCGCAGCAGCGAGGACGAATGCGCAGAAGAAAAACAACTTTGAGGCTTTGATTAGCGCATCGTGCAGAGCTCGTCGAGAGGAATAGATTGCCGTGTCGTTCGCCTTCAACAGACATACAATGACGTTGCAACGCAGTTTATACGAGATCCGGGGGCTTATGGGACCCCGGGGTCCCGCCATAAAGTCATTAATGATGTTTTATATTAATATGTGTGTGCATATGTGTGTGTATACTCCTCACATTACGTCGGTTGCAAATATTTAAAAAAACACGTAAAATCCCATCGGCTTAATCTTAGGCAATAATACATTGCAAGGGGTGGTGCCCTGTGCCATGTGGCAAACGGCCAACAAGTGACAACACCAGTGACGATCATCTGAATCGGTCTAGAGCCTCCCTTAGATTGACTCAGCCTGAAATTAGTACCTGCTACAGTTTGTAAACATCGCCACTGGAGAGACAAAGGCGGCCGGGCATGGCGTTGGCCACCCACCCCCACGTGTGCCGTGCCAGCCTTCATAGGTGCTCGCTAACAGCACTTGCCCCGAAAGTCTATTAAGGCTATACGGGGAATATTTGTCTTTTTTGCCCTGCACTATAAACCCAGCAACCCGAGGTCTATTCCCTTCCACGGATAACGTCACTGGTGACTCAGATCTGAACTGGTCCCGGCCCCCTTTCACAAACCAATACTCAGCAGATTGGTCAAATATGGTCAACCCCCCCCCCCCCCACACACACAGAACTGACGCATTGTGGTGAGTGCCTCGTTCAGCAGGAATCGACGGAAAATCTGAAACTGTTTAATGAATTGTTTCATAACAACGATCGTCTACCGCTGTGTTTAAGTTGTCGGCGTACATTAAGTAAACATTACTCATGGATCTTCATGCTTCCTGTGTAGGAGTGAAGTCCATGTGCAAAACGGTGGAAATTGCTGCTTCAGCTCTTTGGAACCAATTGCATTCTCCAATGGCACAGCGCACCTGCGGTATACATTTACTCAGGTAATGCACTGCAACGAGACAATGCGCTTCACTCGTCCAATGTGTCAGCTTCGCTCAAGGCACACGCCAGAGTATACACAATCACAACATCCTCGTGTTGTTTGTTTTAATGAAAATATGTATCGGAGTTTGGGAAGACCTTGGCGAGTGGAGTCCCGCACGCTGCCTGTCTGCCAGCCTCTCCGCTTGCTTCCATTGCTGGCGATGTGCCACACTGGAATGTTTTTCTGCAGCTGAGAAAACAACATTCTTTCAATGTTGAGGTTTGAGCTGACAGTCCAGTGAGACGCACAGTTCATAAAGAAAAAACTGAAACAAAAAAAACTATATTTTTTCAGTAGCCAGTTTAGAAGAACTGCAGTGGACCTTGACAGGCTTAAAGTTTGCCGGTGTGGGATTTGGGGCTGGTCAACTGGTGCCACATTGTTAAGTGCTACTTTAAGACTGATTTGTGAAAACATATTCTCATTGCCTTGTTTTAAATCATGAAAAAAATTCACTTGCCAAATAAATCACAGAATATAATCCTCGGTGAACATAGCAATGAGATGAGTTTTGAAAAAAGAAAGTTATTTAACATCATAATCGTAAAAAAAAAGTTAGCGCTGTGGTAATGTGCGCAACGTACGTGTTTTATAGCGTAATATCTTCAAAATCTATGTTATCAAACACGGCTGTAACAAATTACTGCAGACACGTATACAAGAAGCGGTGTTGGGTTTCGTATTACCATTTTCGTATTCATGGAATATTTTATAAGGCCCGGTATATTCGAGCCCAGGGAGTGAAGGAATGAAACGGAGTTGGCAAACAATCATGTTTTCTTTGGATTGCCCAGATAATGATTTTCTTTTGAGTTTCACTCCAATAATAATAATACATCTTGGTTAAGGATTGCGGACGTGATAATCCCATTGAGGTTTGGGCTTAGACAGAATGTACGTTATCCTGAGAGGTGAAGAATAGCTTTAGAGCTACATCCAACTCATGAGTCATTTGTTTTCCTCCTTTATAATGGTATAATAAATAAACAACATCTATTAAATGCATTCAGCACGTATGGTATTCACGCTATTCCAGTAGTACAGACGCTATAACGAAGGTGATATGCTTCATAGACGGGTGTACGCCAGCATTGTGGGGTGATGTTTGCTCTGTAGTTTTACCCAATTGAGCAATTTGTAGGTCATTTTCTAAATTTGGCAAATTTCGGCCGTGATGTCGGCTCACACGGCTTCGCTTGTTTTTCGACTAACATTACGGAATCTTTAACGTCAATTGCGAAGCAGATGCTGCACAGTATTTTATGGTTAATACAGCTGCAGTATTTTAACGAAGGTGGCTGCTGGCTTCGAACCGCGAGGAGAAACCTATGCATAGATACAGCAGCGGGTAACATGAAAAACGGTGTTCCTAAGCTGTCGCAGGTTGTAGCTGTGAAACCGAATAGGTATTCTTCAAGTAAAGTTCACGTTTTCATGTCTTTGCCGTGACATTTAGAACTCATGGCTAGGGCTGCTTACATTGTGTATTCAGGTCAGAAACCTAACACAACAGAGCCAGGAGACACTACTGGGTGATAAAAGATGACACCAGTGATGAGGAGGAAAATGCCAAACAAATTCTGTTTTATTTAAGAGGAGAAATATTTCTGGAGTTGTGAACCGCAGATGATGAATCCAGTATGCAGGTGTGGGCATTGTTGAATCCCTGAATGAAGTCACTATAGGCAATGTGTGCGTTTCCTACATATGAGCATCTTGGGACATGGAAACGCTGCTACAAACATCTGAACTAACACACTACTGTGCCACACCGCTTTTGTTAAGCATTATATGGTATTTAACTTTTCATTTGGAAAAATAAACTTCTAACAGAAATAATATACAGTCATATTTCAGTAGCATGGAAATGCTTTTCTCATGGTTGTGGTTATGTGTAGGGCTGGTGTTTAGCGTAGTTGGGGTTATGGGTAGTGCTAGTGTTTTGTGTGTTTGGGGTTATGGGTAGGGTTGGTGTTTGGTGTGGTTGGGGTTATGGGAATAGCTGGTGTTTGGTGTGGTTGGGGTTATGGGTATGGCTGGTGTTTGGTGTGGTTATGGGTAGGGCTGGTATTTGGTGTGGTTGGGGTTATGGGAATAGCTGGTGTTTGGTGTGGTTGGGGTTATGGGTAAGTCTGGTGTTTAGTGTAGTTATGGGAATAGCTGGTGTTTGGTGTGGTTGGGGTTATGGGAATAGCTGGTGTTTGGTGTGATTGGGGTTATAGGTAGGGCTGGTATTTGGTGTGGTTAAGGTTATGGGTACAGCTGGTGTTTGAATGAATAGAGATCGAACGTTAATTGCTGAGGCAGGTGTCACGAGTCCCGCTTGAGAACACAGTGACATGATAAGGTGCCACTAAGCTACACTCACCTGTCTGTTGCTGCTACGATATTATGTTTGATACGAGATCACATTTCAAGATATGATGAATCATTCTCTGGATTCCCATTCTCAAAGGGTCATATTAATTTCATCAATCGGTGCTGAGAGGAAGGAGCGATGGTCTGAGATGATGGGAGAAAAGATGAGTTATGGGAGGCGATGATGGGTGAAGTAAGGAGGAGGTGATGTGATGTGAAGTGGGGGGAGTGATGGCGAGCGGTGATGGGGGAGAGTTGTTAGTTGATGGGCGTTGAGGGAGTGATGGCGGGGCTGTTCATGTTGAGGAATACAAATGCGAGAAATTGACTGGTTGGTGCCACAGCAGTGACTAGGGGGCGCTGAACGGGAATTTCCGATCGTGGAAAGAGCGAGTTGATGGGGAGTGCGGTGTGTGGTGTGGGTGGTGGTGGTGGTGGTATTTGGGGGTTTGTGTGTGAGCCGTGTGCGCTGCGGTACGTGCGAGCGAGGGGGCGAGAACGCGTTGGTTATGTTGTGGATGATATGGATGCATGTTGAACTTCTTTCGCACCGTACGTAGCCCACCGTGCTAATCGGAGGGGTTTGTTGGAGAGATATAATAGTGGCGGAGGGAGGGATTTAATCAATAAATAAGTAAAAATAAATTTTAATTAAAAACACGCTTTAATGAAATGTATCGTACTCGTAATGTAAGAACTCGACGACTCCAGGAAGTGGCCCTGAAGCTTGCCATATCGTAAGGGGCCCTGGTCAATTAGAGCCAACATCAGTTGAGCGTGGACAATTAGAGCCAAGCCGAAACATAACATGTAAAAAATTATGTTTTCAAATATGTTTTTTTATTTTGTATGATAAAATATAGTATTGTCATTAGTATGACATAAGTATACCAAGTTTGCAGTCGATACCACATTGGGAAGTGGGTTAAATTTGAGTTACAAGATTTGAGGATACGACGAGAACAGTGAGTTAATAAAAAGCGTGTAATAATACATCGGCCTGTGTCTCTCTCTCTCGAGAGAGAGAGAGACACACAGGAGGGAGTGGTTGCTGAGGTCATGGGGCAAAGAATTAGAATCTCTATTTATACTGGAGTAAGAACGTTGCAACAACAAACAGTACAAAAACATGATAGTCCAAAGTACAGGTAGTCCTCTTCTTACGGTGGAGATGCGTTACGACGACCCCATCGTAAGTCAAAAATATCGTAAGTCGAAAATGACCTAGGCTACCCAGGAGTCTTAAAGAATGGTGATAATTTAACAAAACAGAGCAATTTACAATACCGTACTGTATAAACTATATACTGTATGTAATTATGTAGGCGTTTGCCTGCCGTGCGAAATATTAAATATTTTACACTTTTGTCGTATCGCCATCGTAAGATCGAAATATCGTAAGTCGGAGCATCGTAACTCGGGGACTACCTGTACAATGAAAGTAAACGAATCAAGAGAGGTGGGTGTGAACGGGTGGGTGTGAATGGGTGGATGTATGGAGGGGAGGGGGCGGTCTCGGGTAGTGATGGTGGGGGGAAGGAGGTGAGAGATGAGAAAGAGTGAAGGCGAAGAGCGATTGTGTTGGTTGAGAGCGAGAGATGAGATGCCCAGGGGATGCAGGGGGTGAACGGGATGGTGTTGGTGATGGCGGTGTTGGTGATGGAGGAGAATCTCTTCTTCTTTCGTGTGGCTGACGCAGAGCGACAACTACGACAATCTCACATTCAGGTGGTCAAGCCAGACACCCACGCCAGGAAGCGGCGTTCAGTCGGAGGATCCTTGTCCCAGTGGTGCCGATCATGCGCGTTGTTGTTTGGCCCTGATGAGGAGCCGCGGTTTGTGTTGGGGGAGATCGATGTTCGATGTTCGGTCGTCGTGATTTCTCACTTAACAAAGTGGGCTGCGTGAAGGCTGCCTTCTTCCACTCCACAGAGGAGAATGATAGTGGGGGTGGGGGGTTATCATAGCGAGTATTTGTGCTGCGATAGATTAACATTTTACTGGTAGGAACCTCCTGGTTACACCAGCCCACAGGGGATTATTGTGTCCGTCCGTCGTATAGGGAGGGGCTGGGTGGGGAGGGGCTGGGTGGGGAGGGTGGGGAGGGGCTGGGTGGGGGGTGGGGATGGGTGGGGAAGGGCTGGGGGGAGGGGTGGGGCTGGGGGGGAGGGGTGGGGCTGGGTGGGGAGGGGCTGGTCACCCCGTGGTGCCCTTATAAAACTCAACGTTTAACCTACTCACGCCGGCTTGTGCCCGCCCTCACAGTTGGGCATATTTTCGGAATACACCACGCCGCCGTTGACCCTGGCCATTGTGTTTTTGCGAAAAACAAGAGCTCTGTAAGCCTAATTAAAGATCGACAGAACTTTCATATCAATCAGGTGACATCCCAATGGGACTGCAAGACAGACCTGAATCACATGACCATATTAAAAACACAATTTAACGACAGTACGACTTTCACGTGGTGTTTGTAAAAATGCATTATTGGGTAACATTTCTGTTGGGGAAAATACGTTTCAAATGCCCGCTTTGTCTGTTAGCATTTTTAAACCCATATTTTCGTGTTACATTGATGCTAACAATAATTTCCATGACTTTTGGATGTTAGAGGCTTTTTGTCAGTGAGAGCTTCATAATTAAGTTGCTTTTCCCTGTACACTCATGAAACAGCGTGAGAAAAGCGGTGTGTACGTGTTTTGCTATAACAGCGCCCCCTAGTGGCAAGATTATAATTTTAGCGCTTTTTAAAGCCTGGCGTGGTTTTGGCGGGGGGGGGGGGGGGGTTATAACCAGTTTTTGCGGTTTACCATCCGTGTGTTTAGCATTAGACCAATGTATGCCCCACTTGTGAGCATGAGAAATGGCTATGGAAGGCAACATCGCCCCCTGGTGGGAATTTTTTTGAATATATTACTGTACAAATGGAACAAAATTAAGATTGTCTTGATCCCTCCTCGCCCTCAATAATTAACAGGTGTAAAACTATATATATGGTGCTCTATTTATTATTTATTTGAATGAATGTAAAATTGGTCTTAAAATATCTCGGATTTAAACCCTTGGCTTTTACGCTCTCGGGCCCACTCACTTCCCACTCTCGCACGAAAGGCTCGGGGTTGTGTTTACAGATCTGTCGCCTGTATGACTGAGACTTGAGTTCGAGTCCTGGTTAAGTCAATCCAGAAGCACCTGAGTCTCGAGTCATATATTCCAAGGCTACAGCAAATAAAAGCCGAGCCTCCGACGGTTGAGTGGGGAGTGTGTGTGAGCGTGTGAGCTATGTAAAATATATTAAAGTAAAAAAGCTAAAATAATGTTTAAATAGTTAGATTCGAACCTAGGGTGCTTTGTAATGTCACACGCTCTCCACTCAACCACCACAGGAGGCATGATACTGGTAGGAACCCACTGGTTCCACCAGCCCACAGGGGATTATTGTGTCCGCCCGTCGTGCAGGTAGGGGCTGGGTGGGGAGGGGTTGGGTGTGGAGGGTGGGGCTGGGTGAGGGGTGGGGCTGGGTGGGGAGGGGAGGGTGGGGAGGGGCTAGGGTGGGGAGGGGCTGGGTGGGGAGGGTGGGTGGGGCTGGATGGGGGGGTGGGAGGGGTGGGGCTGGGTGGAGGGGGACTGGTCACCCCGTGGTGCCCTTATAAAACTCAACGTTTAACCTACTCACGCCGGCTTGTGCCCGCCCTCAGTCGGGCATACTGCGTAATACACCACGCCGCCGTTAAACCTGGCGATTGACCGAGCAACCCAATGTTCCTACCAGCTCCCTTCGCAGGAATGTGTTATATACGTCTGTGACTTAGGTGCTAACTCTGATATTAACCTGCATAACCAAGTCGAGGTCGACTGCAACTAACATATAAGGCAGCGGTCGGGAACCTATGGCTCGCGAGCCATATATGGATCTTCCAGTGACGGCATATGGCTCCCAGACAATTTTTGAGTTGAAAAAAAAATCAGTTTGGAACTGATTTTAAAATACTTGTCGTTGTCCATTCATTGACATGCTATTTTTTCTCTGCCCCCTCCCTCTCTCCGCCCCCACCCCCTCTCTATATTTAAGGCCCCGTCACAGAGACGACCTCTCTCTTTGTGCCGATACGTGTTCTCTCTCTGTGTGTATCTTTATCATGTCTGTCTGCTTATGTCTGTCTATAGTTTTCTGGTTAGATTTTTGTTGCTATTTCTTTTATACCTGATGACGATTGCTTGTGTTGCAATGGAAACGTCGTAGTATGCTATTATTTAATTTATTATTTTATCTTTATACGTGACTTTACCGAAAGAACCAAAGAATATAAAGGCATAGCCACAGCGAGGAAATGCTGGATTCAGTGTACCGACCCAGACCTGTCTAAAATCAATATGAATGTAGAATGTATAGATGCACATGGTAATTTTCCAAGAATGCAGAGCTCCAACTATTATGGGACTGAGCTGAAGTCCTCCGACATGTAATGTCTACAACAATTTTGAGGACTTAACGAAACACTGTCCTCCCATCCATATCGTGTTCAACTACCATGCATACTGGAGGTCAAAATACTTCTCTTTTTGCATATTTCCACACACGGATCTATTTTGGATTTCCTTCCCATCGTCCCCCCCCCCCCCCCCCCCCCCAAGTTCTTATAACATCGCTCAATTGAAGAAACATCAACTCTCATCTATTAGAACTTCAATAGTGCTCTGTAACTGGCTGCTTGTGTGTTTTAAGTACGTGCTCAGCAAATTATAAAAACCAAAACACTTGGGTCTAAAGACGCAAGTCCCAAACAGCACACTCCTCCATCTCTTCATGTTCACTCAATTGCGTGCAGGAAACTACAGTATACCCAGCGGCGGTGTGACGCATCAGCAAACTATGCAAAAGCTTTGGGCCCCTAAGTAACTTAAGAGCCGCCGGAATAATACAAGTCTCACTGCAAGCTCGACCTCATCTCGAATAGAATGAAACGGGATCCTTAAAAAATAACGTCAAAGGCCCTAAATTATCCAGCAATACCACCACGGGTTCCACCAAATTACTCTTGTCCATTTTTGCAAATGTGTTTTTGCTAAATCCATTGGCTGGACACATGGAGGTCAAATTGATGACGGTTTGTCCGATATGATCTTACATTTGCTTGTAAAATATCTATTCCATTTATATAGTTAAACATTTAATGTTGAAACGGCAGTATATTATGCCTAACCTATATTAACATTTCACGGTATATATTTTACTTTACAATTAAATTTAGCGACATCAGTGTTTATATGTAGCTCGGACTGCTTTATCTTCTCTATGTATATAAAAGGGAAATTTGTAAATGTGTTTGTTCGAAATGTTTAGTGCACTTCCCGACATGCAACAAACTTGAAATTTGCCATGTGGGTACTTTCCAGACTGTACACCATGCAAGAATTATAAAAGATTGACTTTTGTATTTTGGGGGGGGGCACAATAATGCATATATTTTGCACGGCAAGTAAACTGGGACGTCACATCTGTCATGTCACCCGCGCACGTGGAAGCGTAACGCAACCCTCCGCGGCACGTGTATAATGCCAAACAAATGTTACAGGTCTAAAGCGTTCTTCACGCAGCATTGCTTTCTTTCAATTGTTTACTGCCGTACGCACCCTGAAAGTTTGTCTGCAGCAAGCGCGTGTATGTGTACCTATGGACGCGCCTGTGTGTGGCGGGGGGAGCCGTAGTGTAGTGGTTAGCGCGCTGCGCTACGAACCCAGCGCCACGAGTTCGATTCCCGCTCACGGCCACAACCGGTGACGATTTGAACTGGTCCTAGGTCTCCCCTAGGTCAACCCAGCCTCAAACGAGTAACTGGTGTGTGAACATCGACACTGGGGAGACAAAGGTGGGCCGGGCATGAAGCCGGGTAGTAAAGCTGGTTACTTATAACTTGCTGGCTACCAGTAACCTTAAGGTTTCATTGCATATGCTTTTAAACGATGCAAACGCTGTAAGTTTAACCTCTTGTATGAAATACACCCACGATCGACATGTTGAGGTCTGCTTTTTTAATTTTATGTTAAAAGCCAACAATTTAAATGTTTTTATTAACAATAGGAGCTTGTACAACAGACATTTAGCACAAGTGGTGTAGGGGAGTTGTCCCTCTGCTGACTGGAGTATGGTATAACGTTTGAAACGCCATGTTAAACTTACAATAAGCAAAACCACAGCAAAATGAAAGTTGTATAATACAAGGACAATATTGCTTTATATTTTACAGCTTCTGTATGGAGTTTCCAAGACAAATTGTGTCAATGAAGTACAAATGCTGCCCGTAAAATGTAAAAGCAATACAAATATGGATGCAAACTTTTACAAGGAAATGGATATTTTCACGATGCACAAATTAAGCATAAAAAAAAAGTTCAACAAGCATTTTTCTGAACCAGTAGTTGTCGTTATCATACTCCTTGGGGGAAAGATAGTTGGCTTATGTTTATATGCAATATTAAATTAATGCACACAAACTATCCTGGACCTAAACAGCTTTTGGCTAAGGTTTAATTAATTGTGCCCCATCAACTGTCCAACAATATAAACATACTTAACCGACACTCAATTGCTCATTGTAAAGGTATGTATACCTGAACAAGTGTCGATAAAACTGTAAAGTTAATGATAGGAATGGCTATCTGCTAGATAACCTGAAAACACTAGAAATTGTTATTTCTAAAGGTATTTATAACTGGACAAGCATCTAAAAAAAGAAAAAACTACAATTATGGCTATCTGCTCATACATGTCAAGTATGCCAAAAGCACACTTCCAGATGAACGCATGAGTCTGCTTTAAACGAAAGCATCCAAGGTAAGTCAATTATCAAACATTAGTTTCTTACCAATATTACTAAACCACGTTTAATGTGTCTTAAAAAAAATTGTTTGGAAAAGCAGTGTACTGAGGGAGAGAAAAGGTTTTGGTGCTGGATAAGATCCCTGCTAACAGTGTTTGCGGTGGGGTTATGTGGTGTCTGTCAAGCCGTGTGCGTCCCTCCCATCTGCTCCTGGTACACCTCGATCACGTCTTCATCTTCCATGCCAAGCTGCAAAGGATGCTCAATTATAGGTAATCAGCAATGAACAAAGGCATACAAGAATACATTTTTGTAGAACAGTTACATTGCAAATGAAAGTGTGTGTAAAATTTTGATTTAAATCTTTCGTGACTGCAGGGATTCATATTCTTGGTTCTTTCGGTAAAGTCACGTAGAAGGGAAATAATAAAATTAAAAAAATGAAACATAATAAAATACAATTCTCACTACGTTTCGGCCACAATGCAGGACGGCTGCTTGCGTTGTGGCCGAAACGTCGTGAGAATTGTATTTTATTATGTTTTATTATTTTCCTTCTACGTGACTTTACCGAAAGAACCAAGAATATTTGTAAAATAGTTAAATATTGTATGTTTCACACTTCCTAGGTTCAAGTTTTCCATATTTAAATTCTTAAAACATTTTATATTAGATCAATTCCTACCTGCCTTTCTGATGAATGTGTAAATCAGTGGATGGCAGCAGCAGTGGTGAGCACCACGTCAATTATAATACATTTTATTGACTTATTGGCCACACATTTCTGGAGATCCTGTCTAGTGCCAGTTGGAACTTGATGCAAAATCACTGCGTTGTCATACCTTTAGAAATACCTTGTGCTAATTGCATATAACGAGTTGATATTAGATATTAATTCATCCAATAATAATGGTAGGACTTCATTGTATTATGTTCAGCTGTCTAAACCATGAATTGTACAATACTGTTGTTTTTCCTCACCTCTTTTGGAGTTTGTTGGTCACTGATTCTCTGTCCTTCAAAGAGGAACCGCACAGAGTTTGCTGGGACACCCTAAAAGGAACACATCGGTATTTATTATGACCCAAATACACATGATGAGGGTTACTTTTCAATATTGTATTCTAAATGATGTAAACAATCTCTAATATTGTTTTATGGTTTAAAATCAACCTAAGCCAACTGTTTAAAGAAGCATTGAGAAGTGCACGCATAATTACAGAAATACAAGAGCACGTGAATTGGAGCATGTATACAAATAAAACCACAGTGACTTGAGTAACGCGGCTTGGGCAAAACATGTTGCTTGAATGAACAATGGCTGGTGGTCAAAGAAGGTACACCTCCCCAAGTGAAGATACCCACCAGAGATGGTATGATGAAAATGGCTCTTGTGTAGGAGCTAGACTAGCACTGTGAAACTGAGATGTGATAATGGCTTGGGAAAATCTCCATCCAGCAGTGGATAGGTCATGGCTAATGAAGCCAATTACTGTACATGCAATTGACAATTCATGTTAGAATTGCATGAAAAGCAGGGATTGGCTTTCCAAAAGTATGGGTTAACTGGCAATATCATTACTCTATCCCATGTGAAGAGCCAGGAATGATCACTATATTTGTCCATTTCATGCTATTGTGGAGTTGTCATGTAACTATTGCAATGACAACCAGTAAAACATTGGTGTGTATAAGTTGTAAAGGATCTATCAGACAATGTACATATGCAATAAAAACACGTTATACTGTTTAAAATATTTCTGTATATAAAGATACAAAGTGATGTTTTACCTGTCTCTGGCAGTATGATTCCTTAAGTTTTTTAAGCTGTGTAGTCATTTTCACCTTGAAGTGAATTTCACTGTTGTCCTGAAATAATCAAATACATTTACTGATGAATTAAAACTCCATTGTGTGTTGGCCACTGTCCAACATGCTTCATAACTCTAGTTTAATCGATCATTTCCCACAAATTTATAGCACATTTTTTTTATTTTCATAGCAAGAAAAAAGTGCAGCATACATAAATATTGTTGAAAAGTTTGGCTCAAGATAAATATGAGCACAACAAAAGTCACATACAAAAAGTTTGTTCAATACGAAAAAGTATTATTTAAGGGACAACTGGAAAACACAACAAAGTATGCTTTCAGAAAAATGTATCTGACAATGAAAGGAAAACATGTACGCGCCTAAAGAGAAAATGTTTAAATAAACACATTGCTTGCTATGACATGGATATGAATTGTATACAATGACAATGGAACAAAACATTTGTATCATGCAAAGATGAACCTGTTGCAAAGAGGAAAAATGGGTTATGGAACACAAATTAGAGACATTAAAAGAAGAGAAATTCGCTTGGGCAAGACATCTGTAGGAGAGATGGCTGAAGGCCGACACAGGTGATGGAATGGTAGTCACAGAAATAACACACCTGAGGGTTTCCAACAATGGGAGGTGGAGCAATGAGATAATCTCATGCAAAGGACCGATATGGATTGTGGCATCACAAAGACCATGAGGGATGGGAATGATGTAGGGAGGGGTCTTCATCCAAAAGTGGATTACTTTTGGGATTTGCTGATATGATTTCAGAAATTATTTGACAGTATTCTTAGGTTTTTTCGGTAAAGTCACGTAGGTAAAACATTACAATTTCTAAAAGTAAAATAAAATAAAAATCACGACGTTTCGGAGGCAACACAAGCCTCCGTCCTCAGGTGGAACCGTCACAGCCCGACAGCTGTATCAAGTAATACAGCTATCAAGTAATACAGCTGTCGGGCTGTGACGGTTCCACCTGAAGACGGAGGCTTGTGTTGCCTCCGAAACGTCGTGATTTTTATTTTATTTTACTTTTATTAATTTTAATGTTTTACCTACGTGACTTTACCGAAAAAACCTAAGAATATGAATCCTTGCAGTCATGAAAGCTTCAAATCTAGAATTATTTGACAATATCAACACAAAATTTGAACAGATCAAAGGACCTTCAACTCATTCTTGAAAATGTTTAGACCCACTATTTAGAAAACTTATGGTATGCAATGTGCAACAACCTGTCCAATCACTTTGAGCTTGATGTATTCGCCTTCCTTTGTTTCGGGTTTTTCTCCATCAGCAGCAGGCTTCGTTTCCTGGTCCGTAAAGATGCACAGTCAAGGAAAAGTGACAAGACACATAGTAGGCTACATTTGCAATTCACACGACTAGAGTCTAGAAACAACAAATAACCAAGTGTACCCATTGAGCAACTTTTAAACTATAATCGAAAAGTCTTAGAGTTAAACAATGTTTTTCTCCACTCCAAATTAAATAAGATTGTAAATTTTTTTTTTAGATATAGCCAGGAAAGTTTTACAAGGTGCTAAAAAAAATCACGGAAAACTAGCTTGGGCTGTTAGGCAAGGATACCCACTTCAAAGATTTACATCAAAGCAATAAACAGAGTAACTCAAACTCCACATATTATAGGTCATAACACCACTTGCTGTACTGCCACATTTTCCTGCAGGAAGGCATAATTTACACCACGACTTAAACTTAGTATGAGGTGAACTGCCAGGTATGTTTAGTTATGACTCACAATCTTCTCATTATTGTTAATTCACTGCAGCATAAGCACCTCCCAACGCTGTGTGGGGTAGGGGGGTTCAATCCTGCCCAATTTCCGAGATCTCTCAAGATCAGAAGAATTCTGGGCGATTTGGGCCTTCACTTTGGTGTATAAGTATAACTAATTAGTGCAGTAGTGCCATTCCAAGTTTTAGTGCAATGTTCTATGTCTCGGTTCTCCCAACTAGTGAACTTCATTCTTAGCAATGCGCGGCCAATACCAAAATGAAAGTAAGCAGTCAGACACCCTGCTAAGTCTAAGATTGGGCAAGTTAGCACATGGCACACTTAGATGTACAAGCAATTAGCACCTCTTTATAACAAGAGTCTGAAAGGCAATTGGTTCAAATAATTCCAAAAGCAGCTAAAATCACCAGCAAATGTTGCTCAATTACATATCTATACAGCATGTGTGTTCCCTCTTTAGATACGTGGGTTTTCTCACACATGATATAAAAAAACACTCAAAAGGAAATGGCCAAACATTGCAAACCTAATAATTATTTTAAGACTTGGTGGGGTTCTCCTAGGCAAAAGTTTTTCACTACATTGCACGACACATTACACTACACAGTGCCCTACACATTAGTATGTAATGGTCATTACATTGCACATTTGCATTATACAGTAAACGTAGACTGATAAAAGAGGGTAAAGGTGCAGTAGCCACAATCCATTGATGAATGCCGTTACAAGTTTAAATTAGTGTGTACTCTACGTGTATTTTAACTGGGAAGGCGTGGGTCACAGGATTAATCGAGGGTTGGTTGCGGTTTTGTTTAAGGGTTAGTGTTAGGGTCATCGTTAGTCTCGATAATTATACGTTTCCATGACCAATGGGAACTTCGGCTGGGTCAGCCTAGTTTGGTTCAAATCCTGGTCTTGGGCGTGGGTTCCTATCCCAAAGCGTGAGTCATGAGGCTCCATTGACTCATCCCTTCCCCTCCCTCTTCTCCCCACTACGTTCCGCGGTTGTGTAGAGGGGTCGGGAAGCAATCCCAAGTTTGTTTTTAACGTTTAACATAGGCTTGGGTTAGATTAGCCTCATCCATGATATAGGTCTATTTTATATATTTTTTTGTCGTTTAACACAATCAAGGTGCTGAACTTGAGCAAAAGTTAGTTGCTCCATTCAGTGCACGTTCTGTGTCTGCGTTGACCCCATGACGCCTGACACCAGGGTTTGGACAAGGTAAAACGAGTGGGGCACGGAGTGAAAAAGGGTGAGTGGAGGAGCTTGGCTTGCAAATCAATTATTATTATTTTTTTACAAAAACAAAGGGATTGCATGTGCATCACTTGTGTGTTCGGTAGTGCCGGCAAGGCTGCCGTGCGAACACGAACTCACGGGGCCAGGATGTGTCGAATTACCATGTTAGTAGTCTACTTGTCTGGGGTCATGGAAACACGGACATAAGAGTTTGCGTTTCAAGTTTGATTAAGGGTCTGTGTCTTAACAGTTGGGACGTGTCTTTAGAGTTCGGGTCAGTGTCTGGAGTTAACGCACGTTCAAGTAGTATCGAGGTCAGGTATTTTAGAGCAAAGATAAGTGTAAAGAGGCTGTCGGGGTGTAAGCGTCTGAGCTCGGGTTAATGTGTATTGAGTCTGGATCACAGAGAACGTACGGGTCCAAGTCGGGGTCTGTGTTTTGAGTCCTATTTTAAGGTTTGTTTTTAAGTTGGGTAGATAGGCAATCTGCATTCATAGTTAAGAGTTGGGCTGTGGTTAAGAATAATTGTTTATAATAATGTATATACATTCATGTATCCAGGAAAGTCACACCGAGACTCTCCCTAAGGAGTGTTTGGTAATTCCATAAATGTTTTGAATGCGAAAAGAAACAGTAGTACTTGGAGAAACACCTGCATACGGAAGGATAACATTCGACATTCTGCAGATGAACCCATACGTGTACATCAATTTGCTATACTCCACTGCCATCTCCTGAGTTTAGCAGTGAACAGATTTGCATGAACCTGCAGTTATTTCGATACTGTACAGTCATCGACTTATGAACACCCGACTTACGAACATCCGCAGTTATGAACCAGCTTCCATGAGATTATGTTTTAACATCGACTTGCCAACACTTGCTAACTGAACCGCTTGATCCTCCACGAGATGTAGTCACGACCTTCCGCTGGGAGTGTGTGCGCGCGCACACGTCTGTGTAAAAGTGAGTGTGCAAAAGTGAGTGTCCATGTGTGTGAAAGTGAGTGTGCGCCTGTGCACGCCCATGCCCCCATGTATGTGTGTGTGGAGCGGTAGTGCACTACCAACCCAGCGACACAAGTTCGATTCCCGCTTATGACCAACACCAGTGGCTCCACTATGTCACCTCAGCCACAAATGCGTACCTGGTGGTGTGGTGTGTAAACATCGCCACTGGGGAGTCAAAGGCGGCCGGGCGTGGTCCTGACCACCCACCCCATCGTGTGCCGTGTCGGCCTGCATAGGTGCTGCTCTCTAACAGCACTTGCCCCAATAGTCTGTTAAGGCTATATGAGGAACCAATGTCATTGTGTGCGCACGCACGTAACCCCGTGTGTAAGGAAAGTGAAACTAAATTGACTCCTCTACTTAAGAACGAGTTAGGTTCCAGATGTCTGTTCGTAAGTCGATTTGACTTGTTGTACGGCATGTTGTATAATCTGCTGTAGATGCCACTGGTTTATCAACGCTTTATCATGTCCACTTTATTTTCCATCGTAATAGTGTCTCTTACTACCACCTTCGACACTATCACCACTCATGCTTCGGAGACAGTGGGGGTTGATGTTCGTGAAAAGCACAGAGAACGTCGTAGTGAACCGCACAGCCACGACACAACAACAATGATGGTGACCTAGGCAGAAATGCCGGAAATGCTGGGAAATGACACCGAACAACCACCGCTATCCATTGAGCGGCAGTTGAACTTACGACTCTTGGGACGAACAGGCAACTGTACATACGAACAGGTTTGTTCGTATCTCTTAAAGTTCGTAAGTAGAGGAGTTAATGTAAAACTATTTTTTTGTTACTTTCTTGTTTTAGTTTCTATACAGTATTTATTACAGTATTACAAGCAAATGTACAATATTTGCTATTGATGAGTTTAACCATGCTTCCCATTTTTGTTAACACGTAAGACATTTTGTAACACTGACCTATGTACATTTTGATTATAGTGTGCTGATCTTTAAAGGTGTATTGGAATTTTTTGATTCTGCTCCTGATACTCCTGCTGTTATGAAATGACTCATGCAGCCAGCTATGGCTGAAAAGTTTGGTCGTACATGTTATGCATATCGTTTATTGTTAAATTTGAATCACAGTTCCTATGATTACTGTTATTGTTTTTATAGCTTAATTTTGGTGATTTTGAAAACGTTTTGGTTTAGCCATGTTTGTTTGTTGTAGTACAGAGTTAGCCTGATAACTTTAATCTACATTGTCTTATGGTTATTGTTTGACTTGCATCCCACTGGGATTTTTGCACACAACGTTTAAATAGTGTTTTTTTTGGAAGACTTGTTTTTCCTGGATTTTTCTGTTGTGTAGTCACTTTAAGATGTTTCTTGTTCATGTTTTTGTTTTGTTGCGGTTGCACCTGAGTCAAGAGCCACATGGCTCACAGGGTTATACCCAATAAATGAAACTGAATATTATTATTACATTGCGTTCCTACTTACGAACACTTCGACTTACGAACGTATCTCGAGAACCAATCTCGTTCGTAAGTCGATGACTGCCCTACTCGATTACATGTGCACGCCACACGACGCCCTGGGTAAGTGTTCGCGTGTAAAAAAAAAATACATGTTTGTATTTACGTACACTGGATAGTCAGTGTTTTGAGTAAGAGTTGGTGTTTTGAGTTGAAGTACAGTGTACTTAAAGTTTGGTTTAACTTAACAATAGAGTTGTGGACCTGGGATTAAATGTGTGTATTGTTTATGAAGGTTGGTCACATTCTGAGGCCGAGTCGCGGTATAGGTTAGTGTTCAGCCAAGGCCTTGGGGTAGTGTTTACAAACTGTGTTTAGTGCAATGGCCGTAGTCTGGGTCCGATGGTTTGTCTGGCTTGGCGATTCGCGAGGATTGAATAAGGTTGTGAATTTAATGGCTCGGGAGTACATCTAGAGTCAGTCTTTTCAATCACGTACCGAGTAAGGTTTCGATTGCAGTCGTTTCACACCCGCTTCTGTGAAAAGTGTTTATAGAATGCGTGTTTATACCGCAGCCCGCGTTTAGGCATCGCCTTGCCAAGCCCGCCCCTACAGCCCGTGTTGTCAGTGCGCGCTTACGGCTAGTGTCAAGTAGTCGCTGTTCAGGGGAGGGGGGGGGTTATGCCTCACAAGCCCGTGTTCATGGCGAGTGTTGATGTGTAATTGCCCGACGTTGCCCGCGGACGATCTTTTCTCGCCGCCTCCATCCCAATGAATGGGGGCCCACACTGCGGCCTAGCGAAAGCCGCGGCCTCGCCTAGGGCACGCACCTGATCAGACATCGTGAGCGAGGCGGCGTTGAGAGCGAGTCCCGCTGCCGAGCGCTGGCGACGGGATTTTTCCCTCTTTGGTCTTGATTGGGAGAAAAAACAAAACTCGACGACAACAACAAAGAGCCGCGGCGAATCGTTCGCCGCCGAACAAACTCGGGGCTAACAAAGACAACAACGACGGCGGCGGCGGAGGAGGCGCGATGAGAAGACGGCCCCAGCGGCTCGCGACGGCGTGACGTCACGAGTGGATTTCTTAGCGCGGATAAGCAGGCCGACGTTGACCCCCCCCCCTCAAACCGCGCGTCCGATTGGTCGAGATTAGGCCATGTGATGCGTGTATGGGGGGGGGGGGTGTGTATGCGCGCGCGTCCGTTGTGGGAAGTATAATCGTACCCCCGCCTGGACATTTCGATTCGATTCTTTGAATCGGTCTACTGGTATAATCGATATTTTGAGAATCGATTATTGTTGTTGGTTTAATTTTTGTATTGTGCCTGAAATAATTTAGATTATCTTCTTGGTTCTTTCGGTAAAGTCACGTAGAAGGGAAATAATAAAATAATAAAAATAAAACATAATAAAATACAATTCTCACGACGTTTCGGCCACAACGCAAGCAGCCGTCCTCAGGTGAAGAACAGGGCTGTCGGAAAGACAGTGTCTCAGAATTATATTTTATTGTTTTATTTATTTTATTATTTCCCTTCTACGTGACTTTACCGAAAGAACCAAGAAGATGATTCCCTGCAGTCACGAAAGCTTTAAATCGAAATTTAATTTAGATTAATTCGAGTTTTTTTTTTCCCGCTATAAATTTCCACATTATAAGCCACTTTGTTGAGCTCTCGTTTGTGGCCAGGTCACTTCTGAAAAAGAAGTTAATATCTCAGTGGGATTTACCTGAGAAGATACAACTCAAGTTTAGTTTCACTTGTATATATTTTAAAAAGTGATTTATTTACCTTTCCTATACTTTACACTTCTACCATGTTGTTTTGTTGTTGTTGTAACGTTCTGACACATGTGAAAAAGAGCTTTATAGCTTATCGGATTCCTCCAGTATGAATATCCCAATTCTAAATTGTTGCAATTAGTCCGTCTGGACGAATAATTATACTGGTAGGAACCTCCTGGTTACACCAGCCCACAGGGGATTATTGTGTCCGTCGTGCAGGGAGGGGCAGGGTGGGGAGGGTGGGGCTGGGTGGGGAAGGAGGGGCTGGGTGGAGAGGGGAGGGTGGGGAGGGGCTGGGTGGGGAGGGTGGGGCTGGGTGAGGGGTGGGAGGGGTGGGGCTGGGTGGGGGGAGGGTGGGGAAGGAGGGGCTGGGTGGGGAGGGTGGGGCTGGGTGAGGGGTGGGAGGGGTGGGTCTGGGTGGGGAGGGTGGGGAGGGGCTAGGGTGGGGAGGGGCTGGGTGGGGAGGGTGGGTGGGGCTGGATGGGGGGGTGGGAGGGGTGGGGTGGGGAGGGGGCTGGTCACCCCGTGGTGCCCTTATAAAACTCAACGTTTAACCTACTCACGCCGGCTTGTGCCCGCCCTCACAGTCGGGCATATTTGCGGAATGCACCACGCCGCCGTTGACCCTGGCCATTGACCGAGCAACCCAACGTTCCTACCAGCTCCCTCCGCAGGAATGTGTTACGGGATAAGAGCGATGACAGTAATTATATTTTCATGTAGGTGGCGCCCAAATGCCTCAGCAACAAAAACCTATTGTCACAGCCAAAACTCAACATTTCGAAGGGGAGTATGGTGGTGGTTGTTGCTGAGGTTGTCGATGTTGATCTTCACTACCTGGCCGTTATATTCTTGGTTCTTTCGGTAAAGTCACGTAGAAGGGAAATACTAAAATAATAAAAATAAAACATAATAAGGTAAAATTCTCACGACGTTTCGGCCACAACGCAAGCAGCCGTCCTCAGGTGAAGAACAGGGCTATCGGAAAGACAGCTTCCTAATGAACACTGCTAAGCTTGGCAGCGTATTTGTGTTTTGGTTGCTATGTAAACTCCTTTGTCAAGGCTCTCTCCTCCTCCGACCCAGCTTAAAAATACGCTGCCAACTTAGCAGTTCATTTTTTACCGAAAAGCCAAGAATATGAATCCATACAGTCACGAAAGCTTTAAATCGAAATTTACCTGGCCGTTAGTTACTTTTCCTTTGGGAGTGGGGGGGATGTATTTGCTTGTGCTTTCGACACGGAGCAGGTTTCACATATCCTGTGTCATTACCGACCGTGATCTGCTGGATTAAGGCCCCTTTTCCAAAAAAATATGGTTGTGAATTAATTGTGGAAGTTTGCCGGCCAATTGTGGAAGTGAGGCCCTCCCAGTGAGTGGGGACATTGTGGGAGTGGGTCAAAAATGTAATGGTTTGTGTGACGTGCGTGTGATGTGTTTGGTGGAGTTATAAGATTTAAAGCTTTCGTGACTGCAGGGATTCATATTCTTGGTTCTTTCGATAAAGTCACGTAGAAGGGAAACAATAAAATAATAAAAATATAAAATAATACAATTCTCGCGACATTTCGACTACAACACAAGCAATCATCATCATGTGTGAAAAACACAGCAAGAACATTTTCTTGCTGTTTTATATTTTTTATTATTTTATTGTTTCCCTTCTACGTGACTTTACCGAAAGAACCAAGAATAGGAGTCATAGGAGTTCAGGGTTTGCGTTTATAAATGTAAGTAATTCTTGAATATGAAGATTTTTTTACGTGGGATGACCCTGGATTGTAAATATCTCTCTTTGCGAATTGTATTATAGGGTGGTTCCTTTATTGTTAAGCCTGCACGTCCACATTTTCGAACATTTCTCCCGATCGTAAAGTACAGGGCACGTGTATGTGTGTGATGGGATTATTTTGGGAAAAATTAAGCAACCGTGTGTGGAATTTTGGATCCTAAGTATTTGTCTGTGGGGAGTGGAGCGTGAGTTTGCGGATGTAGGTTTTTATTTATTTTTCGTGCCTTTTTTATCCCTCTCCCCCGTGGTATATTCCAGTTGTGCTGTCAGCATCATAATGAAATGGAGAAATTTCCATTTGGGTGTTTCATTGCCGCTAGCATTGTATAAGACGGTCAAGAGAACCACTGTGAAATTTGAAGTTACTGTACGTCAATATACTGTAACTCTTCATTTAGATGTTAAAGGCTTCCACCGGAATTTTTAATTTCTGTACTACATTATATTTTCATATTTCTCAATCCAGTAGTGTCGAAACTAATGTTGATGCCTTAAATGTTATTTTGTTTGGATTGCAATGTTCTGTATATTTAAATGTGTAGTCTATATATTTTAAACGTGTGGATAGTTTCTTATACACGTGTATTTTAAGGCTGTGTGCTCCATTTGTGTTCAGCCATAAAATCCCTTTGGCTTGCCACTATCTGGAGAAATGTGTTGCAATTGATAATGAACGGTTAAAGTATAGCTGTGGTCTACTGCAGAAATCTACTAAAATAATGGTCATCACAGAATACCAATTTAAATACTGCTGCATCGCCATTCCTGTGAAGGTGCGAGACACTCACGGTACAAGAGCGTGGCATGAAAAATACACAACTAAAAACATGAATTGAGTATGTTGTTTACATGAAGGGTGCAGTTGTTGCCAACGATGATGTGTTGCAATGGGGTCATGTTTTGTTTCAGTTAAGTTGTAAGGTTCAGATTAATGCACTCAAGACTCGAGTATTATTCACAGGTATGTCCATTGTACGACACTCCACTGAAACAGGCCATCCTATGCCAGGCAGAGCACATGGCTCAAGAAGGTCATTGACTTATACGCGATGTTGATCGGTGTGGATTTGTGACGGTGGAGAGCATAGACGTGGGAGCATAGTATAGTGCAATGGATTTTGTTGCATGGCCCCTGCTGACAACGGAGCCTTGCAGTCGCCTATAACCAGTACAGTACTCTTATATAAGCGCACAAATGTATGTCTGTGATGAACGCTGCACTCTCCGTCGTTTTCATGCAGGGGGCGCTGCAAACCTACGCACCCCCTGCATGAACGACGGATGCACAGGGACAGACGTTCGGTTACGTTGGAATCGATCTGCAGACGGCGGTCTTCTCGCACGGCCAGCAGCTCTGTGTCGCCTTATCTCGATCCCGCAATCCCAAGCAGGTGAAAGTCCGCATCGAACCGAACCCCCAGCAACGACGAGAGAAAATTCACACGAAATGTCCTTTTCAATGAAGTCTTCAGATGTAAAATGGTATAAGCTTTTAATAAAGAAATAAAATTATCTAATTCAAAACATAATACAATTCTAAGAGGTTTCATTTTAAAACTTCAAAACGGAGTATCGGGTGCTTATGTGAATGCGTCGTTCGTGTACAATTTTGTTTGTGACTTTCCTGGCCTAAGGCCGTAAACAATTGTGAGGGGTGCCATAGGCACCCCCGAACAACCCCTAGTTTTATACAAGGTGGCCACCCACTCAAGCACTACATATATATTCAAACATGCCTAAAGCGTCCGAAATTGGGTGCATTCCAGGTGATTGGGTCATTGGTTTTTACATAACTAGCTTTATTTTGCAACTTTTGAAATGCTATTTCCTTTCAAAAAGCTTCAATTTGTTTCAAGATCGGGTTTTTCCCATGGTTATATAATTGTGTTATTACGGACTGAGTTGCACCGAAGTGAGTGTTAAACGTTGCTCATTTTAGTTGACAAGCCAGAGCCAGCTGTAGAAATTCCATATTTGTATTGCTTGTAGGGACCATGACTACAAACAATGCCGGTTTATCACCAAGCAAGGTTTCTCACTTTAGTGGCACTGGAGCAGAGCCACCAAGCGAGGATAAGATTGAAAACTCATTTCTTAAGAACTGCTTTTTGTTTAGCTTATCCTTCACCTCCGATTAGCACGGTTAACTATGTACAGTGTGAAATAAGTCCATCATACATACATACCAAACGTCCCGATTTGGCAGAAAGTCCGGGTGTGAAAAACGAGATTTTGGCCCTGGTTTAAGATTTTCTGGCTTCATGCTCGACTTTCGATGCTGGCAAAGGGTGGGGTTGATGGAGAGGGTTCTGCGAGCTTACCACCTTGTGTCCTAGTTGAGCCGGCCAGTTAAGCCTGGCTGGTGTTGGGACTGAAGCATTCGTAATTTTCAGTCAATACATATTTTCAATCAATACAATTTGAACAAATAACTGGGCATGTTGTTTATATTATCACAACATTCAGGTACCTTACACAAACACCAGAACTGCAATAATTACGCATGAGAAATTCTATCAGTAGCACAAGTGTCGTTTGTTGTAGAGGTTCATGGTTCTAATCAAGAGGCTGCATGCTTACTGCAGATGTATTAACCGTGAAAATGATCTGCGCTGTCTTCTTCGCAGTGGACGCTAAAGCACCCCTGACATTATTCGCAATAGTAGGCCATTGTGTTCCAGTGTTAGAGTCCAAATTTTCCATATTCCAAAATTACCCACGAATGGCTCAATTGGGATTGGGATTATACATTGCAAAAATCGGCAGACCAAATGCCCCAGGCCACTATCCTGGGTCTCTTCAGTTCTCACCTTGTTAAACAAAATAAAATAAACTTAAGAATGACAAGAACAATCTCAGAAATAATAAAACACACTCGTGGTTCCAGTTTTATTTAATTTATTGCTTTCCTCATTAAAAACGGGTCATTTCACATCTTTACAAAATACGAACGTTTATGTTTGAAAGATGTAGCTCAATTTTTTTTAAACAAACTCCACTGCTGGGCCCAGAGATAATGAAGCTAGGAAATGTTGGCTTTTTTTGTCACATCCACAATGTTACTGTTCACTGCTAACAGCATGGGACCAACAGTGGCAGTCAGAAATGCTGCATTATGTATCACTGTGGACCCTAACAGTTGTCGCAAGAGCCTTTAAACTGGGCTCTTTGTACTGTGGATATTGGACGTAAACATGCCTTGTGGCACATATTTTTGTTAACTTTTATTTATTGGGCCAGGTCATGAAATACTACAGGAAGGCCGAGTATTCAAAAACACTGATTTTCACGTTTCTTGTCAAAGGTAGAAATTACACGTAGAAGCTGTTGAAAAAGAATCTTTAAGTACAAACATTAAAAGGAAGAGTTATACTACTTCACAGCCTAATTAATTAAAAAGAGCATTATAGATCTGTAAAAATCAACACCGCTTGATTGCAAAAAGGATAACTGGTGATCTTCTCAGTCAGTCTGGGAGAAACCACATTTGGGCTTCTCATGGTTACTATAAATGTGTTATTTCCCAACAGGCAAAATTACTCTCACAAATACAATATTTCACTTTACCTGGTGGGTAGATTCACCTGCTAAAACACAGTGTCAAGTGAGAATTATAGCCCAGCTTGCAAAATGTGGGGAAAAAAACCCCATCCAGGTCCTTTTAGTACAACTTTAACCCAAAACAGCCGAAGGAGTGCTGGGTAACAAAGTACAGCGATCGTGAAAATCACAACCACTCTACATATGGTCATTCTTCATTATCAAGTTTTCCAAAATTGTCTGTGTTGATCACACTTAAGCAGAAATACAATGGAGATTTGTTGACAAGTAAACTGCATTTATAAGACTTGAGTTACCTAGAAGAAACATAATTAAGGCGACTGGATCAAATGTTGGCAGTGACTATAACATTTCTGATGCGCAATGTATAAAACATACAGCTTACAACAAAAGAAATATACACCACCGTCACACCAGTGAAATCTCTTAAATAAATTAATCCTTAAAGGAGCATTTATCATCATCTGATAAGCATTTTGTTCGACAAACATATCCCAAAAGTACCATAACGGTTTTCACCAAAATAATGTCGATTGTAGCTGTTATCTAAATATACAAAAATTATGAGTCAAAATTAAATAATGTATGATCGACATGTGTTGTAAACAAATGCATTAAACAAGTATTACTCAAGGACTACGAGTAAGTGCTATTGAAGGAAGTACTGGAACAAAATACAAATGTTTTTTTTCATCACACTGATGTTATTCAACAGTGAATCGTTTGAAATTAAAGATGCGCTTAATTACATGGCAGTTTTACTTCAGAAGGAACGTTGCAGTCTTAAGTGATCAATGCGACTCCCTTGGGAAAGGTACCCCTGTCCATAAAGCTGCACTCGCAGTACTTTGCAGTGATTTTTATTCAAGCTTCTGCATTGCACAATTAAACCTTCTCAATGTAAATCAATGTGCATCGTGATCATCGTGTTCATTAAAGGTGTCGGTTTTTTTTTCATCAGGGCAACAACCGACCCCTTTCTCTGACACCTCATTTCCTTCTCATTGTTTCACAAGATTCAACATTTTTCATTGTTGATGAACGTGTGCCGACGACAAGTTACGAAGCCATGACAAATGAAACGCCATGTTGCTCTTACACGCCGAGCAGGACGAGACGGCACAGCAAGGGTGGCCAAGTGGGACTGGAAATCACAACCGTGGTGAAGGTGGTGGTGGTGGTGGAAGCCGCTGACTGCGAGGCGTTGCGGGAGCGCCACGCGATACACGAGTCATCACACCGAGGTTTCCGAAGGTGCATGATGCTCGACACATCCTGGCACCAAGTTCACCTTCTTGCCAGGGTTTTGCCCGGTGCTGCAAAGTTTATCACGCAGACATGTGATGAGGCTGTAATTAGATTGTGTTAGAAACTGCGCTGGCATTTATGCCAGCCAAATATATTTTTTGTTTCATAACAGTTGGTTAGAAATTACATTCACGTACGTTTCAGTAATGCCTTTTAAAGAAACACAAGCTGCTTAATGCCATTCAACAAGAGGCGATCCATGGTTGTTCATCACCGCATGTCACGTCTGTATTTTCTTAAAGTCTTTCAGTCATGGCCTTGCATATAAATGAAATGTTTTAATGAAAGTAACTGCATTCCTTAATTGTGTTCAATTGTGATGCGCTTTAGTCACTAGCAAGGACGTACTGGTCATCTGCAAGTGATGGACTGCCTGCTCTGAAAGTATAGCATTGACATACAAATCTATATTTCAGAATCAAATATTGGCTCTTTCGATAGAGCTTCATTCGAACTATTTATTCAGATTGCAGATGGAAATGCAGAACCGTACATCATTACACTTTTCACTGGGGGCATCCACTATGTGCTGGTAAACATGAACAAATAAGCCATCTTCTATTAATATTTAAATATAATATTAATAGTCTCTCCAAATTGAATGGCAGTTAATTCTGTTGTTACATATACATCATTCTGGAATAATAATGCATGCAAAATTAACAAAATAGCATAAATGTGAAAATGAAAGAAAAATAACGAAAAGTTCACCAACTGATGAACATTAACAGATGCTGTAATCGTATATTAAATGGCAAACTGTTTTATAAGAGGGCATGCATGGGAAACCATGCAAACAAACTCAACGTTGGCATTTTACAAAATCGGCACGCGGTGGCAGACTGGCTTACCATTTGTTAAACAGGGGAAGGGGATGAGCTGATGACGGGGATGGGAATGAGAGTGTCGGTTAATGCTAAAATATTAAAACACGTAGAAATGTTTTATTCCAAATTAAATCTACAAGATGATACCAAGTTTGTTGCAATGTTCTTATGAATGGAACCACATGACTCCGCACGTCGTCGTGTTTTAAAATCTTTCATAATAATAAAATACAGCCCTTCATCAATTCACTGCTGGATGAAGGTCTCTCCATGCCATGTCAGCCATTACTTTGCCATGCTGCTCAGTGGGGGTTGATCAAGGAGGCAACCAGGACTGGTTAAAATACCACCCGCCACCAATGTTAGCTGCAGCCAGGAATGAAATTCAGATCGGTGCATTAACCACTGCTCCACTCTTATTAAGGAGCCTGAATATATTTCAATAAACTTTTTTGCACATTCCATAAAAGTCATCCCATGTTTACCAACAGCAAAGCCAATTTCTTCTTCAGCCTTATCTTTGGGTTCCTTGTAAATTCTTGATGAATATTAATGCACAACGGTGATATCCCAAATGTATAACATTTATGTATTTCACCGTGCTAAAGATATATATGTTTAGTTAATTTGCAAAACATAGTGATGTGATTCACCTCTCAACATCCACGTGAGCGTTGTCAGTATTGCCAGCCAGAGTTTTCCACACCGCCGTCTTGGACATCTCCTCCGAGATGTTGATGATGGAAGGGTCACGTTGGCTGAAATTCAAAAGGCCGCAAAATGGGCATAACTGGATTATCTGGGCACGATGGTACATGCTTCTAATCCAGCACTTTGTAAACAAGGATTGGTGAATCATGCAGACCTGAGTCTTACAAGTGCTGAAAGATTGGCAGATGGCCAGGAGATAGCAGCACAGCAAATGGGTTTGTCAACCCATCCGCGCAGTTGTTTTGTGTGTTATTCCCTTGTTTATGTGGGGTTAATCTCCCAGTACTCCTGATTTCTCCCATATGCAAAACGTTCCTTCAAGTAATTGGGCATGCATCACAATAAAAAGGCTCTCCGGAAAATGAGTCTTGAGACTTAATGATGCTCTCCTCTACTCAAAAATTGTAAATGTTGTGGTTTCACGCTTCAACACACCGGTGGGCTAAAGCAGTAAACTATGTCTTTTGTCAACGTGATACTTTTTGCTGATTAGCCGTGTCGGGTGCTGGAGGGTTACGACACATTTATAAATAACGCGATCTAACCAAAAAACGTTGATTATGAATAATATTGGTCGCGAAAGCCTACGTGTTAAACCAATAATATTATTATTGAATCTAAAGATGCAAACAATGAATTATATAAACCATTGAAATAAAGTACACAATATATTAAAATATCCAATGATTCATATTAACGGATGCGATGTTTAGGGGCAAAGGTTTTTCTTTGTATCAGAGAGTATTGAGTTTTTGTTGTGCTCATGCACCAATCTCAATGCAAAGCATGTTTTTGTAAGCAAATACATAGCGCTGTGCAGGAAATTGTGCCGCTTGGCTGTGTATTACATGCAGTGTCTATTCTGCATTCATAATACCGAGCTGGCAAATAGGAAAGATGTGGCGTCACCTGAACTTGATGCCCTTGACAGGGATCTTGAGAACGTTTCCTCCTTCCAGTGGAACCTGCACAGTGCCGACCTCGGCCACCTCCAGCATGCGCTGGGTCTCCTGAGGCACACGGTCACACGCACGTTGGGACGATTCAACGACGAACATTAACCACAACGCGCCACCGTCGATGCAACTGCCACGACACGCGTTGCCATTTTGCATGGACACATTTTTACAATCTCAACGGCTAATATAAAGTTCTTGAGATGTATTTCTTCTTGAAAGTCTGAGAATTTAAACCCATTCCAGTAACCGCATTACTTGAACATGTAGGGCGTCAAGCTAAACTGAAAACGAGAATTTTTACAACAGTGGTTGCATTGCTCTGCCTGTTTATGACACGCTTTGGTCAATAGCAAGGACGTTGTGGTTACTCACAAATATAATAGAACAGCTGTTCAATAGTCCGTGGCTTTGTGATACATGTTGTTTCACACGAGAACGCATTTGTATAATACTGTAGTGGAACAAAATTATTCTTATTTTGTCTTCCTTTGCGTATGTTTGGAGACTCAAGTGCCGTTAGCATTGTGCCTTTCAAATAAGCAACAGAGACAGGTGGGCATGCAATCATGCAAGGGCACGTTCGGACATCGCCGTACACGCTGGACGTTATAACATACCCGGCTCCGGCTGCCTCCGCTGTTCCTGAGCTATTTGCGTAATGTTTGTGATGGGCCCAGGAAAAAAAAACAGGAAATAATGATGAGGACATGAGCCGCTGGTTCCCTTGTTCCCTTGTGCTGTGCTTATGGAGACTTCATTGGTGGAAACTTTTTGATAGGCTTGCCGCAATATGTCGATACCACGATATAAGGGGTCCACAATAATCGCATCGTTTGTTTAGCAAATAATAGTCTCACATCACGATTATCGTTACTCGTTTTCTTTTATAACTCTAATGACAATATTTGTGAAATAACAAACACCATTTAATATTTCTAAAATACTGCACCTATTACCCATTTAAAAGAGTGGTTTGTAAACGAGTGCTCTTTGTGGAGTAATCGAGGGTGGGCTTCATTGCCCTTTGCCCACTGTGTGTTACGCGAGGGGCGGTGGTGGGGGCGACGCACACACCTCGCTGTCCTCCTGCTCGCGCAGAGCGTCCTCCAACTTCTTCTTCCTGCTCTCGGGCATGAGGTCGTCGAGCCAGCTCAGCTCCCGCTTGGTGAAGCAGAAGTCCAGCAGCTTGCGGATGAACACCAGCGCCAGGACCTTCAGCAAAATCAACGAGCGCACGGACGCGCGCGCGCGCTCAGGAGTCGCTGAAGCCTCAGCAGAAAACCAAACATCTCCGTCATCCAGAGGATGGCAATACCGAGTGTTGGGTTTGCGAATCTATGCAAGGATCTTTGAGTATTATCCCCCTTTTATGCCTGGATGGTTATCTCCAGGTACTCCGGATTTCTCCCATATGCAAAACACTGCCTTAAAATGTAATTGGCCAAACATCCCAATGCAGGACCTTCCTCAAAAATAGTTGCATAACTCAGCGGGGCCTTCCTGGATTAATGATTAATTATGCCTGTTTGTCCAGAGAGCGGGGGATCAGGCTGTTATGCATAAAACAGCTGTTATATAAGTTGTGAGCAGCAGAGGCCAATGCAGCAAAATCAAGTCGCGTATCGTGCAATGCTCCATCGTCTTTGCTACCTGCCTTCACCAACCCGCACTGACCAGCGTGATAAAATATTGTCAAATAGCCCCCAAAACTCACATACGTCTGGGCAGGCCCTCACCCAGCAGTAAATCGACAAAAGGGTTGTGCATAAACATTGGTGTTTTATTAAAATCGTGCTTTTAGAGAAGCATGGCCAAAGAGGGTGTGGGAAGGTCCTGCTCCAGACTGTGTGGACTACAGGTCACTTGAAGCGTTTGCGAAGGGTAGCTAATATGGCGAAGAGGGGCCGTCATCCGGCAGTGGATTGACAAAAGGACTGTCCAGTCCAGGTCCATTAATCTTATTGCTGCAATGGCTGGAAGGGGGGGGGGGGATAAGGCCGCCGAAGGTGCTCGTGCTCACGACGGTACCATCATGGGGAAGACAATGGCGGCGGGCGACGCCTTGATGACCCAGAGCAGCACGAGGCAGGTGAACTGCACGGCGGTGAACAGGTGCACCTTGCGTAGCGGCACGTGGCGCAGGTAGATGAAGTCGGGCTGGTGCTTCGCTGGCATTCCGAATAACTTGATTCGGTCGAAAAACTGTCACGACGACCATTACAAATGAGCAACATTGTCAACATCAACATTATCATCAGTGCGAGCGTCACAATCATCCCCCCATGGCTCGAATGGATAGTTCATCTTCTTGGTTCTTTTGGTAAAGTCACGTAGAAGGGAAATAATAAAATAATAAAAATAAAACATAATAAAATAATTCTCACGACGTTTCGGCCACAAGGCAAGCAGCGTTCCCCTCAGGTGAAGACCAGGTCTGTCGGGGAGACAGCGTCTGAATGAAAGACCTGGTCTTCACCTGAGGACAGCTGCTTGCGTTGTGGCCGAAACGTCGTGAGAATTATTTTATGTTTTATTTTTATTATTTTATTATTTCCCTTCTACGTGACTTTACCGAAAGAACCAAGAAGATGAATCCCTGCAGTCACGAAAGCTTTAAATTGGATAGTTCATTTGAACAGCTATGAGGTGCTTAAAGTCATGATAACCCCAGATACTATCCATCATTACTGTAATAATTATAAATATTAATAGGACGATTTGAACTTGTAGATGTGAAAAGAGCTAATGCACAATCATTGGTTGTGTTCGCAAAGGCCAATTATTTTTTAATGTTTTATGGTGCCCCGTTGGATGACACTGGTGATGGAATGTCAGGCAGAATTAGAGAATGCGACACAAAGAAGGTGTTGAGCAATGAAATCAGTTCATGTGTAGGAGTGAGTTGGATGGCAGAATTGCAGGACTGTGATAGATGGTGAAAACATGGGGACGACTTCATCCAGCAGTTTATAAACAACAGCTGATTATCACGATGATTTATACATGCTTATATTTCACGGGTGGAGCAGTGGGGCAGTATGATTCCTGGTTTCCTCTAGGGTAAATAAAGATTTTTATTCTGATTATCATTTCCCTGCCATTGCTGCCAAACAGTGGCGAGTGATATCCAATCAGTGGCAAGTGATCTCTAAACTGGCCCTGGGCATCCTCCTCCACAAACCTGCACTGACCAATATGGTGAAATATGGTCACACAAAACAATGACCGGCATCGCCGTCAACCATCAATGGATTGACAAGGGTTTGTAAATAACTATATTTATCATTATGATTAATATAGAAAGTAGTGCAAGTAGGCAACTTTACTCGCAATGCCACATTCAGCAGTGTAAGGCGACACCGGAGTGGCACGTGCCTGAAAAGAGTGAGTAAGCCCCTTGTGATATGGGGCCAATAGCGCAGTGAGTGCATAACTCACAGACCCAGCATTATAACTCCGAGTAGTGGCATACAGGGCTGTACATTGATTTTCTGTAGTCTGTTCTCTTATAACGCGGTAGTTGCGTTTATGAAGAACACCGCGCTATGGATATATTGCGTTATAATACATAATATAGGCTAAAGCAGTCCGCGATAACGTGAGATACGTATTCACGCTGAACAAAGACTGATGCGCGTGGGTAGCATCTCGCAACAGCATCCTACCTTGTGTTGATGCTACGACGAGGCAGACGTACGACCGCCGATTCCTACTCTCCCGATGTAGTTCCGTTCACTCAATCGTGTGATATCCAATTCGTATCCGCGTTATATCCAATTCGCGTTATAGCAGCGCAGAATATACTCTCAAACACTCATGGGAACAAGAAGAATTGCTAAGTGAGTGTTCAGTGCAGAGGGTGAGATGCGTAATTTCTGCCAGTGAGTGGTGCCACCGTCATACTTAAGTTTTGTCGTTTAACCAGGTGGGAACTAACGAAAGAGACCAAGATAGTGGCATTCACCTCACCTGGATTCCCTTCAAAGAAGAGGCCCCCATGTACAGGAAGACTCCGTACAGCACCGGCATTGGGATGAACTGTGGCACAGGACGGGGTTACGTCACACTGTGAAAATGTGTTAATAGCGTGTTCATAATGTTTAAAACACGACTTAGCCAGGAACATTTTCTGTAAACAAAAACACTCGTATTCAATGGTTATCATAAGCTCCTCAATGCCAAACGCCACAAAATGTTGACGCACGGTACAATGTTATTCAAACTAAAAATACATTATTGTGTTCAATGTGCTTTTTTGACAGTTTAAGTGTGAAGCATGATTGTTCCTATTATTGTATATACATTAACACAATAAACCAAGCTTATAGGATTTTAATACCCCAAGCGAGTGCCCTAGTTTTGGTGCAATTGTGGAATTAAGTGCATTTATTTTTGCTTATTTCAATTAGTGTTTAGCCATTCCAGCATAGCGCCATTTGATGTAACCAATAAAATGACAATGAGGTACTGTCCTTGATATTCCCAAAGCAGCCCGACTCTGTGAACATGCACCCAATATAAAACGATTGTGAAAAAAATATCTCAGCAATTAGAGGAGAAAATATCTCCAATTGTATCCTGACTGATGAAATACTGCAGATTGCGCAGTGACTTAAATTATTACATGTGAATCGGGTCACGTCAAAATGTACTGCTGCTCAGAGCAGCAATGGGGCGGCCAAACTTCAAATTCGTTTGATAGCCGTTGACTTCGCCACAAAGGATTACTAATTTTTTTTTATCAACTATGGCTGGACGACAAGCTGAGTTAACCGCTGACCTAGAATTGACCTTCTAAAATATCAATCCATCAGTCAAAATCTACCCTGAGCCACTAGGATGAATAGGCATTAACAAACGCATACAGTACACATAGACCATCAATGCTAATTAGAATATGACCCAATCACATAGAAAGCACCTGATCACATAAAGATGCATGCATTACCACCATGCATGGCAGGTTGTCATAGGTGAAAGAAGGGCTTTGCTAGGTGGTGGTCAGCAGAGGGCAGTGTAGTAAAATAAATTATTGCACACGCCAATACATTTGTGCTCCCCCCCTCCAAGTCACCAACCTGTATCGACCGGCATGGTCGAGCACGGTCAAACAACCCCCCCAAGGACCCGCAACAGCATAGGGAGAGTCAAGTCACCTTAAGAACACCGGTCATGAAGACGGAGCAACCCATGAGCACGAAGATCATGAGCCCTGTGACGCGCTGCTCGCGGATGCCCAGGAACTTGGGCTGTTCGCCGGGTGCGGAGCACTCCGACTCGACCTTGAGGCTGTTGACGTGCGAGATGGAGAGCACCGTAGCCGCCACGAACCACGGCAGCCCCATGATGGAGCACACGGCCAGCATGATGGCCACCCACAGCAGGTCCAGGTGGTAGCCGCAGCCCTTCTGCAACACGCCACACACATGGATGGGCAAAAACCTGCGCGCTGAGCAATCGGGCTCTAGAGCGTCGGGCTTTCCGAGGAAGACGCCAGGTAAGCAGGTTCTGAGCTGGCACCGCCCAGAATCTGGGTACGAATCCAGGTAAATGTAGTGAGTTGGTCTCAGCTTACAAAACACATTATTAAATTGGTTTTTCACAATTTTTTTCACAATTTGTCAAAAATTAGAGCTGAGGAAAAATAAAATTAAGTTTGAATGCCATGTGATGAAGACTTTTATAGCAGGGTTTGTGGTTAAGTGCAGCACCTATCGTATGGACAAGGGCTCACTCTTGAAGGTATATCAGAAATAGTTATGTGATAGTAAAATCCACGGGGCTGTTCTCTAAAATGAACTGCTCTGCATAAGTTCTAAATGGACACTTTAGGCTCATGATATGGAATCAATAACTGGAAAACTGAGATAAAATACCCAACATTTAAATAATTATTTCTACAACTTCAGACCATGACTACACAAAAAACATCGTATTAAATTTGTCTTGTGATGAAATGTACTCTCAGTGGCAGACTGGGTGGGAATGTGCTGCCCCCTACTGTGTAGACGATATGTCACTTGAATGCATCTCAGAGGTCGTTGTGGTATCCACTTAAATGGGCTGTTCACTAGCATGAAGGGTTGCACTGCTCTGCGAAAGATCAAGGTGGATTTTTTGCCTCATGCTACGATACCGATAGCACAATCAGGATAAAATTTTGGCGAAAGAATATCTATTTTAAAAGTATGGGCGGCCTCCTTGCTCAAACAAGTAGGCAATGCAACAATACAATTATTCATCGATTTAAAAAAAATATTCTTATGCTCACAATGGATATGCATTTAAGAATAATTTCAGATTTGTGCAAATAATATACAAACATTACCTTTAGGCCAATGGAATAACAAGACTGAGTAAATGAGATTAAAATACAATTTGGATTGATCTAACCCCTAAATGAAACAATGTTCCAAGGCAGTGTATCGAAACATTATACATATTTAGTTTATAGAGGGAGGGAGTCTGTCTTAGGCATAGTACAAAATTGAACAACAGCAAGTAGTTGAACATTTGGATGGTTAGGGAAAGGGAGTTCCAGACTAGGAGGGCACCAGAGAAGGGTGACTGAACTCTCACCAAGAAAAAGTTAAAACTGTATGGCGACAGTACAAACAGTCGAAAAAAATTTGATCCTTGAATAAAATCTTGACCTCAAGTGTATTTGTTTAAGTTCAAGTTGATTTCATAATAGCGGTTGCTTGGGTTAGATCGTGTAAATATATAAATGTGTCGTTAAAACCCGCCTTCACCCGACACACGCAACTAATAAAGGGTTGTCACGTAAACAGATCGTGGCCAATTCGTCACTAGTACAGCACACCGGTGTGTTGGAGAGCCAAGCCACAACATTTACAAGCCGAGTACGACGTTTAACCCAAAAACCTCTATTATGGATGATATTGGTCGCGAAAGCCGACGTGTTAAACTCAAGTGGATTTGTTTAACCCGGTTAGAACTCAAGAGACCAGGTTGGGTCCCCTTTGCAAGTGTGACCTCAAATCAAGGCAAATGATTGCATTGTGGTGGGGGTTAGAGGGGGAGGGTGGGCAGGTGAATCATTGAATAAGTGCCGGGCTGCGCTCTCGTTTATCGATGACCCAGGGATAATGGAGCAAAATCACATTTTCCTATGATGGGAACCGAGTTTTCTCATAGGCTGACGAATGTTCATTTCCCACAAAGCATTTTTAATTTTATTGGCGCTGGACGCACGATGTGTCTAGTCAATCCCCAGCCAAGACATGCACTCCAAACTCAAATTCTGAGTCAGGCACCTTAAAAGCAGTGCCACTCAGCCTGATCGTACTATTACATGTACAAATGAATTATGAATTGCAAAAAAAACCATACTTTTTACTTTTAATTAATACACATTTACAGCCCTTTGTTAATCCACCGCTGGATGAAGGCCTGGTTGGACTTATTCTGATCATATGTCACCATACTAGCCAGTGTAGGATGAAGGGGGGGGGCGGGGGAGGGGTGCCCAGGATCAGTTCAAACACCACGAGTGACTGGTATCAATAGCCATGCTTGGGATGAGAACTTAGGGAAGGTTTATATACGCCACCACTCGCCTGTAGTTTTCATAATATCATTGTATTTGTTTACGCAAGTCAAGCCGCATTGAGTTTTGAGACTCATTTTCAGGAAGGTCGTTGCTGTTGCCCAACAGCACCGAAGCCACGAATTCCACTGTAACCTCTGTTTCAACCTCTCGCTCATCAACACAGTACCGAGTTCGGGCCAGGTTTTTCTTTTGTAAAAAAATTGGCCAACATTGCACAACATTAAGTAATAACTGCAGTTTTATAAATATTTTTTGGTGTAGAAACTTGTGAATAATGGATTGCAAATCACATTTGGCTTATTTTACTGTGGCCTTTTGAGACATTAAATATTAACACAGTTTAAATATATTAAAGTTTGCTCTTTGTCAAGCTGTCTTGGGCTTGACGTGCACATTCAATCTGATTGAAAAACCAATACTCATTTGGGCCATGTTACACGCAAGAAAGGTTAAGTATATTAACACGTGCTTTTCAATATGTTTGACCGCCTCTTGTAAATATGCATGTGCAGACGATTTCACATGTCACACAGAAACACAATCACAGGGTGGCGCAAGGAAACGCACACGGGAAGGTTGGGGGGCACCTTCAGCTTGTGCTCCTTGCGGTTGATGATGACGGCTGTGATCTGCTGGTCCATGAAGACCAGAATGGTGCAGAGAAGAGCAGGGATGGCAGCAGCCAGGATCGTCCACCACGGGTTGCGCCCGATGGGGTCCACGATCCAGCCCCGGTCATCCCGCGTGGGCTGGTGGAATAGGAAGGATGGCCAGGTTAACGCACAACCACAATTCGTCCCAAGGCCATGAGGACATCAGCCAGGCTTGGGTTCATGGCCGGGAACCATTAGGCCACGGTCAATGCCAGGAGACACAAGGAAGTCGAGGTCGAGGTCAGGGACCTTTTAAGTCGAAGCCACTGTCACGGTCAGTCGAGGTCAGGTCCTCTAGGCTGGCTGATTGGCTACATTGAGCACAGCCCGTGGTTGCAGTACAAAAACTGCCAAACACTTTTGAAAGAAAAACTGATTAATTACATTTTGCCACACCCCACAGGCAAATGTCAAGGACGAGAGCTGATAAAATGTGTTCAAGGACACGACCCTAATAAAAATGTGCCTGCTCGCACAGGCGTGCTTCCTGCTTCTCAAACAAACTTATGGTTTCCATCTTTCTTGACTGGCAATCACGTCATGTCCATTTATGTTGTACACAACAATACATATTATATTTTTTCCCAACGGTTCTGAGACCGTAATGGGTGGATTTTTTTCTGCATTAAACCCTGCCAAAGAGTAGTCTGGAGGACCCAAGCCTGTGCTCGACTGTTATATCTGCCGTGCAGCAAATTTCCTTCTGATTTATCCGTTTTGGCATGAGTGTTGGAAATATGTGAACAATCCAGAGTGTAGAGAATACGTGCCAGATGGGTTGCATAACTTCAGGTTGCATTGAGCGAGTTTATTTCTGCACCAGGAACCATTAAGCCATTAAACCAAACTCACGCAGGCCAAGATCCACACGTTTCACACAAAATTTCAGAAAGTTTTAACAGCAGCTACAGGTCACACAATTAATCTGAAGTGGAACGTTACATAATTCCAGTTATATATTTTAAAATGTTTATTTGTTTTACGTGTTTCAATGTAAAATTAACTTGGCAGCAAATTTGAGACTATTGTGAAGGTAAATTGAAGTGTCTTCTGCTAATACTACAAAAAAAAGCAATAGGGCCACACATTCATTTCTAATGCCGGCTTTATACCAGTGGTGGAAATTACACATTCCCATGGCAATAGCCAGACCAGTCAATGCGTGATCACTGTCAACCTGTTATAACGTGGTCGTGGATGGTAGGTCAAGTTGACCCCCAGCTGGAATTTGAACTTGCAGCTGCTTGATCGCGAGTCAAATTTCTCGAGTCAAAAGGCACCCCACGGCCGGATTTAGAAGGCACGTTACGAACGATGATGACGACGATGAACTGTGTTTCACACCTGGACTGTGCAGGGGCGTTGCGAAAATCAGCAACCATATCTCTGTACAGTAAATTACAGTAGATGCGGGACTTAACACACTCAGCTCGTATTTGATACTTTAGTTCTTTTATGTTTCTATGAAAAAAAATCATTAAGGGGCGAGAGGTCCGGTAACCTTGGTGGCCATTCAATGGGACCTCACCCCCTCTTTTAGGGTCAATTTCAAGGCCATGTCTCTCCCATACACACAAAATAAAAATACATAAAATAAAAAGTACAGCTCTGCAACTACTAATTCACACCACTGCTAGCAGAAGGGCCTCCACTCGTGAGCTTCTGAGAGCCCCTCTAGAGTGTACGTTGGCCTACTCTTCCACAGTAGCCAAAATAATTTTAAGAGGTAGAAATTTTCACAATTTACCACATCACGGGCGATCGGCCAATCAACGATATAGGTACCCATTCATACTGCTGGCTTGGCAAGAGGCAGCTGGGGAGGGGGAACGTAAGAAACTTTCCCCATTGTTTCAACTGCCGCGCCAGGAGTAAGAATCGAACCGGTGACCTCTGTGTTGCAAGTCAGGTACCCATTACCATCGTGGCAGCATCAACAATCTGTACAGCGTGCAGTCCTGCGGCCACCGTGGTTCCTGTACGCACGTGAGAGCACACGGCCGCGAGTGGGCCCCATTACCTTGAATTCGCTGGGAACCTGGAGCTTGGGCGAGGGGATGCCCAGGAAGTAGTCGATGACCACCATGCTCAGGATGGTGAGGAACACGGCAAAGTCGCTCACCGTGGAGCGAACCTGCACCACGATAGCAACATCACCACCAGCATCAGCCATGATCGCTCCACTGCTGGATGGAGGACTCCGCAAGCTGTCGCCACCTCTCACAATCCTGCGATACGATAATCCGCTTCGCACTTGCACATGGGCTGAGTTTTCTCACTCATTCTCCCTCAGTGTACATCCTCTCGGGAGCAAGTTTCCTCCCTTAGCTGCAACTCTGTTATTATTCTTGATCATCGGCCATCATTCCTTCTAGCAACCTATCCTGCCCAAGCCCACTTACTTTTCTCAATAGTCAATCTGATATCTATAACCTATGTACGTTCTCCGATCCATATGTCCCTTTTCGCGATTCTAAGGATGCATCTGTCCATGCTTTATTGCACACTTTTTAGTTTTTTGATCTTAAATGCCCCTGTGTCCGATCCACCCCACGGACACATGCGCAGCAAAACGGCCAAATCACGCTGAGCGCGCTCCGTCTCGTCAGGTTTCGGAAGTTGAGCAGATTCAGTCTGGACCGTAAATGGACGCCAGACTGAGAAATAAGAATACTGGCAAAAAGGTCCGATGAAGGAAGCTAGACTGTCTGGGAATACCAGGCATTATAAGCTTGGGCTGCGAGGTGGCCAGGAGATTGCAGTGAAACAACAGATACTTGAATCTATCTGTGTGGAGTTATGAATGTTACTCCTTCGATCTTTGTATTTGTGGTGGGTTTCCTCCGTATTCTTTGGTTTCCTTCCACATTAAGCCAGACGCTCGGTAAAATAATTGTCCAAACATTCCAACAGAGCAAGATCCTCTTAAAAACAGGGTCTGGAGACTGAGTGAGGCTTTCTTGGATAAACACAAAGAGTTATTATCAAAAGTTCAAACAATTAGGACCAAAAATTCTAACATCGTGCTGGTGGTTCAAAACAAAGGCCGTTAAATGATTATTGATGGACCCAATGGGAGTCACAGTCATGTTCGCACCTTGGTGGGAAAGTAGCGCATGGTCTTGAACTGCTTGAGGAATCCGGAGAGGAAGAACGTGGCGAAGAAGAGGATGATGGACCAGAAGAGGACGTCAGGGATGTAGGGCCCGTGGTGGCCACACGCCGTCCCCACGAACTCACCGTGTAATTCTAAGCATTTCTGCACGACGAGAGTGGACGAGGACACAGACACCAGGACACAGACAGATGAATAAAGTGACAGAGACCGATATGCAGAGCAGAGACGGCGGGATACAGAGGCAGACCAGATACACAGAGGGAAGCAGAGGCACAGAGACACACAAGACAGAGATACGGAGAGACACAAATATAGAGATGCACACAATACATTTGAGCCAGAGATGCCTGGCGCTGAGCAGCGCAGGGCGCGAATGGTAAGCCTCATGCATCATCATCACTCTGCAAAGTTTAAAAATTGTGTGCCCATTAAATAATAAAAAAACTAAAATGAGTGAGGCAAGTTCTACATGTGCTGGTTTATGTGTACACACAAGCCTGCTGTTAAATATGAGCAGCTATGGAATCACTAAATATAAGCGTGGATTACCAGTACATACCGCACTTAAAATAAAACTTAAGGAACTCTGTATGACATATGCACTCGCCGTGGTTTTTATAATGTATTTATAAACATATTAACGCAAGTATTCATATGCTTAAGTCCAACTTCAGATCTTTTGTAGATTTTCAGATCACGCAAGAATTAATCGCGTCTTCGTACTAGCTGTCACCCGATGCCGGATGATGCCGCTTTCGGATCTGTCCCAAACTCAATATTTGTTTTATTTGGATCATCTGAAAATCCATTACTTGGCTCAATTTTAGGATTTTTTTTATAAATCTGAAAATTAGCCACACGTCCTTAGTATCTATGTATATACATAAGACAGATACTATGCAAGCAAGTATAACAATTCATTGACAGACATAAACGTATTACGGATGGCAGGAACAAAAAGAATATTTAAAGAATAACTCGAGAAAAGCAAGTTAAATATCTTGGATATGTAATGAGATAACAAGAGACTGAATATAATAGTTTGACTTGGATAATTATCGGTACAAGAATCCGTGGATGACTGCGAATTTAAACAATTAGGTGCCAACAGGAGTATCTTATGCCATGTTCTTTAGAAATATCATGGGCAGAGTTAAATGGAAGAATGCCACGATTTCCAGCGTCTTTGAGAAAGGGCAAAGCACACAGACAGGGAGATTATAACGGACGTGTGGTCACCGTTGGGTCCGTGTACACCGGGGCAATGGCGTTAGTCCGCCGCTGGGATGAGTGAGATTTAATAAGACACCGCCAAGAAGGAACACTCACACTGACTGTCAGGTTTCCCCAGGGAATGCTGTCCGCTGTGTGGTTCATACTGTCCCATGCGGCCAGAGTTTCGTTGCTCGGAACACTCGGCTCGACGCACACACAGCTGTAACAGAAGTACACGTACGGACATACGCACGCACGCACGTTAAAAACCCACACCTGCAAACCTGGTTTCGGTCCTCTGCAGGACGCCGCGCTGGGTACACTGGTGCCCGTGTGCTTGTGGGAGGCAAGCGACACGACAGAGGAGCAGGACAACGTGCACTCTCTTTTTTTAAGGAATTGATGTGCGCATAGCTTAGCATCACGTAACAGCACAGTGTGCAGGCCGGACTAGGTTACACTTTGTTGGCGAGACAAATGGGCGGTGTTAAATCGGTGATGTAAGCACACGTATCTCAGTTACGTGCGACGTCATGTTAAATGCAGCTCCGTTGCATAACACACACAATGGGTTCCCTCTCCCTACGACACGGTGCGAGTTTATGAATAAGTAAACAACAAGCGGTAGAGAAGTGCTCCGCGCGCTGCACTGTGAAACCGGCAAACTGAGTTTCATTCCTGGCCACAATTAACATGAGTGTGGCGAGTCGTATCTCAACCCGGTCCTGCACCACCTCCCCTCATCACCTTCACGAACCGGCACTGGCCAGCGTGGTGAAGTATGGTCGAGCGAAGCGACACGTCACAATCAGGTATTTACCCAGCGGTGGTTTGACCAAGTGGCTGTAAAATATCAAACGAAACACGGCACCGTATTTCTGTTTGCATGCACGCATTTAATTTCCCGCACCGTCGTTTTCATATCCTTTCAATTTTTTTCGCAACACGTCGCCCGCTAAAAATAATTCACAAGTGGCAAAAGGCGGCAGGGCTACGTGACGACTGGGAAATGAAAAGTCTGCCGACGTATAATTGTACGGGTGACCTTTCCCTTGATCTTCTTGGGATGGCAAATTACACACCCCACTACCAGTGGCAAAGCAACAGCAACCCCCCACTGCCTGCCCGCCCCACCCCTACCGCCCCCCCCCCCTACTGATTAGCGTGCCTGCCAATCACGCCGGCATTACAAGATTACATCCACAATTAAAACTCTCTCTGCCTCGGCGTTGGTGAAGCGGTGTTTGTAGACGCCGTTCACGTTGGCACGGGCTTATGCACGCGTAGAGTGATTGCCGCGTAGCGCACCGCTTCTGTCCGCGGGAGGCATTTGCGGCCGCGAGCGTAGGGGATTGTATTTCAGCCGGCGCACTCAGGGGCTTAACCGGGGCAGACGGCCGTGTGCGCGCGTACGTGCGGGCACGCGTGCCCGTGTGGGCGTCTGTGTGAGGGATAACCTGTGTGGTGTGTGTATGCCTATGTCTGACTGTGGGGGAGCTGTGGCACAGCGGTTAGTGCATTGAGTTATGAACCCTGGGTTAGATTCCCATTCACGACCAACGCATCAGTGTCGATGTCTGAAATCGGCCTTGGCCTCCCCCCAGGTCTACTCAACCTTAAATGAGTACCAAGTTCAGTGAATACACATCAGCAATGAGGAGATGATGGCGACCAGGTGTGCTGCTGGCCACACTACCCGCATGTGCCATAGTATGGCCTTCAAAAGTGCTCAATAACAGAACTGGCCCCAACAGCCTAAAAGGTCTAAGACAGTGCACATTTGTCTTTGTGTCTGACTACATGCAACAAGCCTGGCCAGGATTCCTAGGTGCACCCGCAGTGCATTAAGGTGAACGCTGCGATGGCCTTTGGCTCCATATTTGCATGCATATGTTTGTTGCTCAATTCACGACTATAAGCAGAGTACAACCGAGTATAATTTGAAAACAACTCACAATTGTAAGAGGCAATTATGAACTTGAGAGGGCTCTCAGAGGATGAGCCAGCAACTCCACTTGACCTCCAAGTCTGGCATTTCCGCCATGCTCGGCAATGTTTCAGGGTCAATTATAATGAACCAATGCTTTGTGTGTGAGCGCGTGTTTGAATCCATGGTGTGCGTGTCTGCATGTGTTTAATTGTGTATGGGGAGCATTGGCACAGTGGTTAGCGCAAAGCACGATAAATCCGGCGACCGAAGTTGGATTCCTGGGCATGGATAAAATTAGTAGCAAGATATATATAAGGTCGACTTCACCTTAAATGAGTACTGTACTTGAAGCAGTGTGTAAAATCATAATTGGGGAGACAACGGCAGCTGGGTTTGGTGGTGGCCACACCAACTCCTCAAGCGCCGAGCCAGCCTTAAGAAGAGGTGGTCACTAACTACACTTGTTCGAAGAGCCTGTCGAAGGGTATTCACGGGATCTTTGTTCGTATAAATGTGTCAATGTGGAATAGTGAGGTCCAGCGGTTCCCCTACTGCCCACTACCACTGGGACCTTGACTTGTACATGAACAGCAAGTTCTAAACGAAACTTCCTGGGCTTCCCTTGTGTAAAAATCAGCCTTAAATAGATTGCCTGGCGAAGTGTGTGGACATCAGATGGTTAAACCAGCCACTGCGCGCACCATGCTAGCCTTAATAGGTGCTCGCCAATAGAACTCGTTTCCCCGCCTCCCGTCTCCCCAACCACAGTCTGCAGGGCTAACCAGCAGACTTCTGTCTCGATGCTCGCGTGCGTGCGGGCGGCTTACGAGTATTGGGTGAGCAGCTCGGGGTCGGCGTGCATGTTGACCTCGTACGTCTCGCCCAGGTGCACGAGCTTCTCCAGTGCCTCGTAGATGAAGATGATGCAGATGAGGGAGGCGAAGGCCTCCTCGGTGAAGCGTGTGATGTAGCAGACGAGCGAGCTGGCGTCCGTGGCCACGAGCAGGAGGCAGAGGAATGCCGTCCACAGGCCGATGCACGCGCGCAACGACAGGTACGAGAGATCGTAGTCCCTGTGGAGGGCGGCGGGGGCAGGAGTGAAATGGTTTATGAAAAATATACCCACAGAGCAGGTCTGCTCCTTGGGCAACCTCGTGATCAAAATTCTACATCATCCTCATGATACAAACGGGGTGTCACTTTGAAGGTGCAGCAAAAGCTCTCGAAGCCAAAACTCGAGAAACTCAGAATTCGAGGAACGCTGAAGGCTACCCAATAAATACCGAAAGACAATTTTTTAAAATATAATGTCAAGCCAGGACTGGAGAGGGATGGAGACAGAAAGTTATTGAAAAATATTTTTCACAGAGAACCCAATGCCAATGATTAAATGAAAATAATTAAAAGTTGCAAATAACACTGTCACTTACTGCACGCATTATGCCTACCGTCGTGTTATTTATCCAGAGGTGTGTGTATCTACATTACGCATTTATCTGCCCTTTTAACACAACATGAGTCCATCTGAGTATCATGTATTATTCATTTAGCAAAAATAATTAATGTGCATTGCATAACAACAGTTTTTCTGCTGTGCAAAGTCATACGTGCAAACCGCTACCATTTCCGTTCAGACACACAGGCTTGTGCAGCGCGTTTTATCTCATCACTAAATTCCCAATTAGGCTTAGTGTGTGCAGACTGCCACACGATCTGGCGTGAAATGCCTTTAATCCATAAAGAAAAAAAAACCCATCGACAGGAAATCCCGCAATGAATGACCATGGCAGTTTCACCAACTGCCGCCGTTATGTCGCAATCCTTAACCGAACGATTCAGCGGCGGGAGGCCACGGAGTGGGCTCTTTTACCACGAGCAAAATTTAGACCCGCACCGACGCTGTGCCGCACCACCATCCCCTCCCTCCCTCCCCCCCACCTCCCCTTCCCCTCTAATTCCTCCCTAACCCACCCTCCCATCCCCACCCATCCCCATTCCTCGAACACGCGGGCTAGCGTGTGCGCGAGCCCGTCGGCCAATCCAGCTGGCGGTGGGGGGAAGCCAAGAGGAGGCGTTGACTGTAACTCGTTGCCATGTTTGGTCGGCGGCTCGATGAACGGTTTCACTGGGGTCGTGATCGCTGGGTGCAACACAGACACGAGTGATCTGCGCTGTACCGCGTGCGTGCTCGCTCAGCCAGAAACCCCGTACCCTCGCGAGCCAAATAAGTTCCTCGCTCACCGCGAGCGCTGCACGTCCTTGTCGCGTCAGGCACGAGCACCTCAAGGGTACACGGGGATCGTGCACGCCGCAGCATTCAGCGCTCCTGTCGGGCCACGCCGCACGCACAGTGGCGGCGGTGGTTCATGGCTGTGAGTCAGCGGCTTGGATCGAGTTAAGGTTGGTGGATCACATAGTGAGGGAGCCATTAAACTGCACAGTAATGTGGTGCCCAGAAGAGGCAGTTAAAACACGTCTCTAGCAGGTTGTCTGCGGGGTTTGATGCCACGTTTCCACCAACACTGGGATACGAGCCAAAGTGGTTCGTGAACCGTGCAAGTGGGCTCACGCCGTGTCATGTAGCCCCATCGCTGTAAACGGGCCACGTGGCTCCCTTCATTAAGGCCACCGTTGGGACCAGTTGCGATGTCGTCGCGGGGTTAAGAGTGAGAAACATGAGGTCAAGGGCATCTGTCACTTAGGTCAAATTCAGGGCTGTGTTTTTGTTTAAATATAGGTTCCGTCCAGAAAGGAGATGAGGCAGGGGGCAGGGAACAGGGGTCAGATAACAGGGAATATAAGAGCAGGAGGATCTGAGCTCATAGAGATGTGCGGCTCTCAATAATGACGACGACTTCGATCGCGCCGTAACGTGGCACACCATTACAAGGGCGCTGAACAATAACCAAAGACATTACACGTGAGTCATTGGTCCAGTTCAATGAGAAGTAGATGTAGTGGTGGCTATTGCAAAGGTCAGTAGTTTTGCGTGAGTTTTTAAAACACTGGAGTGATGTCGGACACTCGTGCTTCCCCCCACGTGGATAAACTAAAGCACAAAAGTGGCCACTTCAAGTGAAAACAGCTTTCGATACTCAGGGGTTCTCATGTGGTGAATAAAGAAATTATTACACGTTAAATAAATAAAGAATAACATATAAAGAATGAGAATTGTCATTGTGCATTATATAATTTTGCGTCGGACTTGAGGGTTTTTGCCTACAACATCTGGCAGTTCACCTGCATTGATTCGGGCAGGCCAGACTCTGCTGTTTGAGATACTGTTTTGCCAGGTTATGCGCTCACAGAAGGCCGTGGGGCTGATGGGTGTGTAGAAGAAATACGTTTAAGTTTTACGTGGAGAAACAGATGCATGAAGTACTGCCTGCTTATGTGCTTTGTCAACGTGGAGTCGGGGGGCAGCACTCACTTGCAGAACTTATAGAGGATCTTCTCAAAGACGAGCACAGGCCCCGTGCTGCCCAGGATGGTGAGCGGCTGCCCCGCGAACAGCGAGTACGCGATGCCCGTCATGGAAGCCCCGAACAGCGACTCGATGGCGCTCTGCGGGGAAAGCACGCGTCACCGGCTCACCGAGATGCACGCGTCTTCTGAGTCGTAGGACGCACGCCGGAAAAGTTTGCGCACAAACACGTGCCTCTCCCGATCTCACGCCGTGGTTTTTAAACGCTTCCAGGTGCAAAGCGTTTATGCGTTAGCTCTTTCATTCTGTTTGTCTGTCCGTCGGTCTGTCTGTCTGTAAGAGGAATCCACGATAACCTCTCTTAAAGATTATCCACATTTTATGAAAAGTATAAAGTGCTTTAAAAAAATCTCCTCTCTGAATAGTATAGCACATGTTGCATTTGCAGTCTGTAGTTCACTCCACTGAACCTCTCTGCTTTTACTCGGTTGTCTTGAAGCAGAAAAACGTGCTTCCGGACACAAACATAGCCTTGCGTGTGTGCTAATGTTCTTCTGTGAACTCTACACAGTCACACGGCTGTAAGCGAGCTCAAAGGCATCATTAACAATTTCAATTACCGGATTTCATTTTGCAACCTACATCCACCCATTGCACCTGGTCATGGAAAAGTTCAATTATTCATTAATTTGACAGCCGCTCGTGCCTTCCTGCCGGATGAACAAGCTCGCAAGGCAAGGCAAGACGTTTATGCGAGTGCTTTTTTTCACTTTGTGACTTCTCTCCGTTCTGTGCGAGCCACAAGCCACAGCACAACTGTGGCCATACAATCTAAACTACGGAACGTAGCGTAATAAAACCACTGCAGTGTGCGCTCCTTCAACCGACGAGGAATAGAAAAACTACCCGGACGCTCTCCTGAAGCCCTCTCGTGGCCAGCAAGACCTTGACGTTGGTAATTTAGCTCCCGAAATGCATTTGCTGCCATACGCTGGAATAAAATGGATAAGCAAACGTCTTGAAACTGCAGTGGCAAACCAAGTGTCGCGCGAGACACCAAAACAATGCAACGATAAGGATGATAATATGTATGTGCTGCTGACGGTCACAAACGAGAACTGCCTGCTGCAACATTTTTACTAAAATATATAAATGCTGCCCCCACTCATTTCAACACTTGCCAGCAACACTCGTAAGTATGCAGAATATAGCTCATGCTAATTTACAACTTGCTTTATTTCAGATAATGAAAAAAGAGGACAGATTCTCACATCGTAAATTTTTTTTAGCAAATGCTCACCAATGGCTCCTTCACCAACAATGCGGCAAAATCGCCCAGGCAATGCCATGTGATGCATTTGGCCATTTCATCAAAATGGAAATCTTATTTACCTACACTGCTAAACTTTTCAATTTTCTCCCGTCATGTCTTATCCCAAATTACTTATAATTAAATTCAAGAAACCCATTAACTCGTCTAATTACAACCTCAAAGGTGCCATTTTATTGCTGATCACTTTGCGTTTTGGACCTTTCAGCAGCCGAGATAGATAAATCAACAACAACAAAAAAACATGGAAAACAGATGAAGACTGCAAATCGCACAACTGCACTTGCTGCTGAATCCACAACTTGTCGGGAGTGCACTGCGAGCATCGAGCCACTCACGATGCGTCCCTCGGTGGCCTCCCCGAGCAGCCCCCCGAATGTGATGACTGGCGACATGCAGGCGCAGTACAGGAAGAGGAAGGAGGCGATGCACTGCAGGTTCAGGGAATCGCGATAGTCGCTCAAGTAGAACGGAATTTTCCGCTTGATGTCGCGCACCAGACCTCCGAATATCCTGTCGCATGCACGCACACACACGCATGCATTCACACGACGGATATATGAACGAATGGAAATTCAACCCCCACTGACTGAGCCATCACTCGGGACCGCATTTTGTTGCTTTGTACGTACAACAACAGGGGTTGGTGGAGCGGTGGGATAGTGGTTTGCGCACTGCGTTCAGAGGCCAGCGAACGGAATTTGATTTACGGCCACGGATAACACCGGTGAAGAGTGAAATCCGAACCGGTCCTGGACATCCCCTTCCTTCTGCCTTCATGAACCAGCACCGACCATCGCGGTGAAATATGGTCAAACCAACAGTTGAGTAGAAAGGCCTTCATTCAATAGTGGATTTTCAGGATTCATGAGACCATCCCATTCCCATTAACAGGGCTTTTCATTGGCTGAGGCTAAGGATTTCCAGTCCCCCAACGATGGATAAAATATCCATTCCCAGAACTGTCCACTGTGCTGTGGGAACACCATGGTCCACAAACACAAACAGGAAAAACGTCTTGCCGGCCAACTGAACGGCTAAAGTCTAGAATAACCTTAAGTTTTTTTTTTTGTGTTACATTGTTCCATAGAACTTGATTTATGGAGCAAACACACAATGCAGAAAATATTTGTACTCTGCGCTGCGAGGATTTAGCAAATAAATGTGCTGTTCAACTCTGCTTCAGTTTTCATTTCACTGTAAGGTAAACTACGGTTCCGAATGGTGTGTGACCGTACGTATAATCCGAGGCATGAATCGGTGAAGGAAAAAAAGGGAACACAAATAAGCTCTGAAGGTAAAAGCTGAGTGCACGTTTGCACACACAAGGCACACGCGCGAGCGGACACATCCTCGCGCTACTAGGCCACTGCTTTATGACGAGGCTGTGACGGTGCACGCCGCAACACGGGGCAGAGTCATTAGCGGTGACCCCGGTGACCCGACGGTGGTCGGCCTCTCGCGCTGCGTCAGCTCGGGGCGCAAACGCGGCGCGGAGCGTCGAGGGTCAACGGACGCTCGTCTCTCGCGCTCCGCGAGGGGCGATGTTTGAAATCGAGAGAAGAGCAAGCCGTACCACCTCCCGCTCCAACGTTACACTGCATCTCATGTGAAATATTGAGTTCTACGCTCAACCCTTATAATGCCGACGGGGAAGCGTAACATTTATTTAAAGATTCCACTGTTTTGTTTAATATTCTGACCTTTCATGGCATAATGAAGATTTGTTTCTGCTTCATAACCCAGGTCTCCTTTATAGAATCTGAATCTCTTGAGCTCTCAGCTGCTTCTGATTACATTTTAAGAATTAATGGATTGTGCGTGTTGGTGGCGATGGAGGTGTTGCAGGATGAAAAGGCTGCTTGTGTTGCGTCCTGATTTACAGGGGCACGTGGTGGCATGTGGAGTGCACAGGGGCGTGGGGGATGTAGAGGGCTACACAGCGGCATGCAGGAGCAAGCAAGGGTATATGTGGGAGTGTGCAGGGGTGTGTGAAGGTGTGCCTGGGTGTGTGAGGGTGTGTGTGAGGGTGTGTGTGAGGGTGTGTGTGAGGGTGTGTGTGAGGGTGTGTGTAAGGGTGTGTGTGAGGGTGTGTGTGAGGGTGTGTGTGAGGGTGTGTGTGTGAGAATGTGCAGGGTGCGTGTGGGTGTGAGTGGGTGTGGGTGTGAGTGGGTGTGTGTGAGGGTGTGTATGAGGGTGTGTATGAGGGTGTGTGTGAGGGTGTGTGTGTGAGAATGTGCAGGGTACGTGGGGGTGTGAGTGGGTGTGTGTGTGAGGGTGTGTCAGACTGTGCTGTGCTGTGTGAGGGTGTGTCAGGCTGCGAGGGTGTGTGTGAGGGTGTGTGTGAGGGTGTGTGTGAGGGTGTGTGTGTGAGAATGTGCAGGGTGCGTGGGGGTGTGAGTGGGTGTGTGTGTGAGGGTGTGTGTGAGGGTGTGTGTGAGGGTGTGTGTGAGGGTGTGTGTGAGGGTGTGTGTGAGGGTGTGTGTGAGGGTGTGTGTGTGAGAATGTGCAGGGTACGTGGGGGTGTGAGTGGGGGTGTGTGTGGGGGTGTGTGTGTGAGGGTGTGTGTGTGAGAATGTGCGTGTGAGAATGTGCAGGGTGCGTGGGGGGGATGCTGGTGGCCGACCTGCCAGTCCTCTGCAGCTCGGGTCCCGCGCCGTGGCTCTCGTGCTCCGGCTCCAACGCCTGTGACGACGCGCCGTTCACGAGGCTCGGCAGCTTGCGCTTCTCCTGCCGAGGAGCAGCGCGGGGGGCAGCAGGTGTGTGTGCAAGGAAAGAAAAAACATGAGGTAAGAAAAAACAGATGGACGTCAAAAGCATGCTTCTGAACTCAACATAATGGTGCCTGCAACTGCATCAACCTGCGGATGCAGGGAAAAGAACCGAAACAATTTAAAGAGAGGTTTAGAATAGATCTAAATTAGCATCCGGGATAAAATAAAAAAACATTTATGGATATCAGCAATGTCTTTCTGTAAAAAATAGACAACGTACTGCAGATGTTACAACTAAGATTATTATATTTCACTGCACTTTCCAAAACTGAAGAACTGCACTCTCTCTCTCACCATCTCCCCGCAAGTATTAATAATTTAGCATGGGTTGTAGCACCTCGTGCAAGAGCCCAACCACAAACTACTGTGGCGTGTCAGTACCACCACAGAGTCAGTACCACACACATCTGGAGGCAGTTAAAACATGACTGCTTTGAGAGGTAGAAAGAATGGCTCAGGGGTCAGATTGCTGATTTGGCACCAGAGAGTCCCGGGATCAAATCTCGACCACTGCCTGTGATTGCACCAGGTCTGCAAGTGCAGTGTCTTGATGGTGGTCTCAGAACCAACTTTAACCAATCACATGAAATTTGCTTCCGAGAGTTAAATTGTCGGATTGGTTGTCATGTGACAAACATTACTCTCATAACGCAGGCTGAGCGAGAAGTTGCTGCCCCCTACTCTGTGGACCAGAGAGGTCACCTGAAGGGATCCGAGACAGCTCTGGGATGTTCACTTTTGTGGGGCGTCCTCTAACGCGAAGAAATGCACTGCTGTGTGCGAATGGATAATTCGTCTGGTGACATGACGCCGACAGCACAACCGGGATAATATTCGGGGGGGGGGGGGGGGGGGGAAGATGACAAAAAAATATATAAGAAAAAAAAACTTATTTGCATTGTGGGTAGTATAACATGCTGTGCAGGCAGGATCGATGCCATCGGTCAGACATTAACTTTCCACTCTATCATTTCATCCTCGCAGACATCGTCTTTTCAATGCAACAGCCATCATCGGCAGGAGAGGGTCCTCACCTGAGAGGGGACATTCTTTGGGGGCTCTATCCGGATGGAGGGGTCCCACTCCCCGGGGGGGAGCACCGTCACCTGGTCCAGGAACTCGTCGATGCCCGACAGGAGGTCCTTCCTGTCCTTGGCCTTGTACGCGACGTCACTGAATATCTGCGATGTGAGGAGGAGGAGAAGCAGCAGCTGCTACAAACTGACAAAACAATGCACGGCACCTCGGAGCAACAGATTCCTCCTCTGGGGGGCTTCCGGGCATTTACGACTCGTCCCCGAGCCAGGTGCCCGTGGTCGTGAAAAAATATTTCATAGTACACCAAGTTACAACGGCCACATGCTTTAATCACCCAGGTCTACCCTGAATGAGACATTTAGTCTCAGTGGGCTCACATCTGGTTGTAGCTACTACTGCTACTGCTACCTCACCTAAACCTGCACACTTGATACTGCTTGCACTCTGCGCATAACCAAATCAACGAAGATGCGCCCGATCTCGCCAGATCTCAGAAGCTAAGCAGGTCTGAGTCTGGACGGCGTTTTGATGAGTTACCATTTTGCTCAAACGGGTTGTCACTGTGCTTGTGGGGTTACGTGGTCAGCTGTAGACGGTAGTGCGGCAACATCCATTGCTGTACTGAAATGCTAAACTCTTGCACCTCTGCTATACTGCCTGCTTTCATAATCCTGCACTGACCGGCATGGTGCAGTATGGTCAAACAACCCTCACAACCAACCCGACATTGGGAAGGCCCTCATCCAGCAGTGAATTAACAAGAGGGCTGCACATGCTGCCTACCGACGGAGTGCTCGCATTTGCAGAATAGCCCTCTCGCAACGTTACGCTCATTAGCATGAACTCACGGGTCGAGTAGGCACACTGCTGTAGCCTTTAAAAGCCGATGACCTACTTTGAGTGGTCCTTTGAGCCGTCACTTAACACGCAATTATCCCATATCACTGCCCTGCAATTCTCAGCCCTAAAGTTATAGTTTATCGCACGCCAAGCGCCAGCGCTAATTCTCAAATGGCAGCGTGCGGTCACATTACGTGCTTCTGCGCAATGGTCACTCTGTTACCAGTGCACGATGGCACGTCACGGAGGAAATGAGGGTCAACAGAGGAATGGCCATGCAAGCACGCAAGTGCAAGAACGCACACCCCAGCGCACGCACGTTCCAACCTTCCGATGAGGTTTCCTGCGTATGCCAATTTGGTTACTTTGCCGCATCAAACGCCATGCAAATCCAGGATTAAATTACATAATTCTAATCCGTCCAGAGACTTATTTGCCTTAAAACCGCTCATTTATAAGCCACAAAGAATGTTTATTCCTGCTCATCACCCTTCCATGAACACAACCTCCCTCCTGAGTGAAACGGGCTCAGGGTCGGTGTCAGGCTGACCTCGTCTGACATGAGGGTGGCGATGGATCGGCCGATCTCGTGGTACTGGGTAGCCTTGCCCGACGGTCCCAGCAGAATGAAGAGGAACCTGCACGAAAACAAGAGGCCACATTTTCAAACAAGTTCAGAACAGCTGGGCTTCCGACCAAACATTATCCAAAATGTGTTTTTGCAGCCCTCTTTCTAATAACATCTGGTTATTCAGAAACATTTTGTAAACAAGCAAAGCTGCTGATGAGGTCAAAACTGGTCCATATTTTGCTCGCTTAAACAAATGTTTCTGGATACTATTGCTCTGTAAACCATAGGCTGAGGGACAAACAAATATTTGAACGTATTTTAGGCGACACAGGACAAAGTTCTTATTCTATTTACATTGACACCAGGGTTTCTGTGGCATCGGACACAGTCGCAGAGATGTTTAAAGCCTTCGCAATCCCCAGAGTGGCCATTACGAGTCGAGTGCCTGGCCAGCACCCTGCTGAGCTTCTGTCAGTGCCCAATTAGCAAGCGGCTGGACGTGCAAAAAGTTCAGAAAGGGGGGACAAGTGAGAACGGAGACCCAACCAGTAGGAGGGGAGGAGGGGCCCAAATATAGTCGCCCCTGGCCCATGGCCGAGGATGATGTTAATCTCCACGTGCACACAATCCAACCGGTGCCATTGTTGAAACTGCGTTTGACCGAGCTGTGGAAACAGATGTTCATTTCTTCCAAAAAAGGCGCCCCATCAGTCATTGGAGTTGAATGGACATGTATCACACATTCAAACCAACATCAACGCAGGACAATGTCACATATCTGACTCACTGGGAACTGTGGTGTTATCGGTCGATATGTTAAATGGCTGAACATATTAACATCTCAAGAATATGATGGATGTAATCAGCAGGCATAGAATAAAATATATTGTGCAAGAAAAAAAAAGTGCCAACTGCTTTAAACGTGAGGAAATGCTTAAGAAGTCAGCGAATGAATACGGGAATAACAATAACCGTACTGTGTGTGAAAAGGTGTGATTCGAGAACATCGATATAATGACCGATACAGCATGCACAAATATACTGCACCGAGGTGTGGGCAGTTCGTGGGTCAGGCCAGAATGTGTGCGCCGTTGTGCTGTAATTTGTAGGCCACGTCTATCGTGCGGCAGCAGTGGGTGAGGCGTGGTGGCATCCACAGCTTTGGCCACGATGACACGCCTGATCTTGGCTGTAATTTACAACCTGCTCTGGCATTTTATTGTACTTTGTTCAAAAGTGGAACCCTCGGCGGATATATATTTTTTCCCCCGCTTTGTTGAAATCGCGCACCGCGTGGGGATGGGGACCTCCGCGAGCCCGGAGAGCAGCACGGCCGGAGAGAGGCGCACGAACGCGATGACCGGGCGCTCCAGGAAGTCCACCTCCCCCACCAGAACGTTCGACGCTTCCGCTCCTTGCGGGATTTTCCGCAGGAAGTTCAGGTCCACCTGAATCAGCACGGAGCAAAACTCGGCCACTCGCCAACGTACGCGAAACAAAACCCCGCTCGTTTATCCCTACAATAAACAGCTGCCACCGGGTATCACATTGGCTCGAGCACAGCAGGGCACTGGAATGGTAGGGATAAGTTGTGATTGCAAGGAGCTTCGAGTTGCAAAGGTGTTTAAGCAAGCACCCTATAAATGCAAATCCTGATGTCCAGGGCTCAACTTCTCACTGAATATTTTTCGGGTCACTGGTAAAACTGGAGTTGGCATGTCACTGTCAGAGCCATAGCGAGGGGTATACTGGATGTCATGCGCCGGGTGAGGACATTGTTCTGGGTCCCCGAACTCGGACTTAAACTAGAATGAAATTAAACAAAGCACATGTATCTAGCTTCATGAATGTTAGTCCAGGAAACAGTAATCACATATTAATATTTTGAATGACAACATGGACACTGATAAAGAAAATGGAACAAAAGCTGAAAGAGAAGTGCATGCAAGTAGCAGGCGCATGCTCAGAATGAGAGACAAAAAGGGGAACATGTGGATCAGAGAATGTATGCAAGTTAAGAAAAGTCACTTCAGAAAAACAAATGGGCTTGGACAGAACACGTGGGAAGAAGGAATGATGGAAGGTGGTCAAGACTAACAATATAGCGGCAGCCAAAGAAGGGAAATGTGCCCAAGAGGACATGCACCATGGAGAGATGAAATCAGTTCATTTGGCAGGTGCTAGATGGATTGCTGCATCAAGAGCAGTTAATTGATCATGGCTGATGATGAAATAGAACTAAACCATTTTTATAAGTGCACAAATGATGCGCACACACGCGTAAAAATGTGCCCAAAAATATTCTTTGCTCAGGCTTATAAATGCGGTGGCTGTTGGAAAGCACCTATTAAGGCTGGCACAATAAAGGCGGAGGTGTTATGGTCAGAACTATAACCCCTTGCTTATTACTGCCCAATACAGATACTTTACATAAGACACAAGGTACTCATTCAAGTTTGAGAATATCTTGAAGCACGAGGTATGTCCATAAACTGTATAAAGCAACAACAATCACAACAACCGTAGTGGTGAGGTCACCACGGCGCTTGTGCCAGGCTAGGTGCAATTTGAGGCCACGTCAAGTTTTGAAGGCTTGCTGGCAGATCACGGGACAGATTCATGTTTTATGGGTTAATTTACTGATAAGACTGGCAGATAGACGCATGCCACATACATGTAAACATATATACACACGGAAATATGTTCATGTCATTGAAGTGACATTCAACAACATGTACTTGGGCGCTTTTCTGTGTGGCGTTTGCATGTTCTACCCCTGTTCTGCATGGGTTTTCTCCTGTTTCTCCGGTTTCCTCCCAACAACTAAACAAACATCATACAATGTAACTGGTATCAGCCAAACGTTCCAATTGAGATGTTTTTATTTATCTACAGGTCAATGAATTTGGGATTGCACATGGCAACATCACAACATCACCCCCATTACTGTGAAAACTTGGAAGGACCTGCCTGAAAAAGTCTTCAGAGTGGTAGTAATAATAATAATCGCCATATATCAAACATGAACCCTTCCCCAGCATTTGACAATGCCACTTACGACAATGCCAGGCCATCCTTGGTCTGGGGAGATACAGCCACAATGCCATGTGGCTGAGGGCTGCTGCTGGTATAGATGCAGCAATCAGCAGCACAGCAGTAAAAGAAGAACAAGGCACGCAGAAGACAGAGGAGGCATTAGAGGCATTAGGAGATTCACACAGCAGGAGGGACAGACAGGTCACGCACAAGGATGTTAGTGCGGTAACTAGCAGGGGTTTGACCGCTAATGCTGCGGTTGCTAAAAAAGGCATTCAGCGATACTTTGAAAAGAAACACATGGGATGCCTCATGCTGCTTCAAATATGCACAGGCGGCTGTGCGCTGTAGACAACTGTGTAACCAAGGCGGTTACGCCTTCTTAACTGTTAATTGCAAGGTCTTCGGAGCTCTTATCCGCACGCTCGATTATAACGAGCGACGCAGGATTAAAGGCAGAAACCAATATGACACCTTTGTAAAATAATAATGTGTTTGAAAATAAAGAGATTATTTTAAGTTGTATTAAAAAACACGAACATGATCACAACTACACTATTATTTACAACTAAGCCTATAACACATCTGACTGCACATTTTTACTGCGTTTATTTAACGGGTGGACCCCTACCAAGATTTTCTAAATAAATTCAACCGTTAAACTCTTCCATGACATTTATTTAAATAGCTGCAGGATTTGCATGGCTGGCTGGCTAGCGATCTTTCGAAAGTTAATGTCGTACATTTAAAACTCACGAAGCCAAAACACTGAGGAGACAGCCTTTTTGGCTAACCACAAATTCTGGCTTCATCGAGTCCCGACTTCGACAGGTTTTACTGCTCGCTGTGCAGTGGGCCAATTTACACGACGTTTGGGATTTTGAAGAAGATGGTCACAGGGCATTGCAAACATGGAAGGAGGAGGCTCGCAGTCGAACCTTGCTGAAGTCCACAGTGCTGGACTCCCCAGCACGGCCCTCGCACACCTTGTCTTCATCTGCCAGGTTCCCGGGAGCCGAATGTGGCGAGGTCAAGAAGCCTGGCCCACGTCCCCACACGAGCACACACAAGCACCACTTTGATGGACATGGTCATTATTTAACCCCCTCCCATCGATGCGAAGCATCTTGATTATTCAGGGATGAGACGGGAACCTTTTCCTTACCGAGGGGCCAAACAGGAGTTTAAAATACTTTTGGTGGGCAACCATACATTAACCACACTCTCCAATAATTTCTCTCAATTCAAGAGGTTCTTGTTTTTTGCAGTGACAGACATGACTAGAGCAGGTAAAAACGTATAAATAGAGTTGATAGATCGAAAGTTTTCCCTTTCCAGTGCCGTGCTCGCAGCGACAGATAAATATCATTTGCGGGCTGTCTGAATTTTTAGGCCTTACGTGGCCGTGGGGGGCTGCATGAAATGAAGTGGGGGACCGTAACCAGTCCAGGGGTAGTAGGTTCGCCACCCTTGGATATATCCAGATAGAGCATGCAAAGTCTTACACAGTCCGAAAATCGTTATCCATTGGCACACCATGCACAACGCGTGCGCACTCTCACGCGGAACGCATTCATGCCTGTCGGGTTCAAATGAACCATTCCTCTTGAGCGTACCATGGGCCGTTACGGTTAGTATTCACACCGCCAGGATCACAAAAACACAATAATGAAGGCAATCTAATTGTGTTAATTGGCAGCCATTACACGTTAATCACGTTTTCACGCAGTTGCTGAGTAATGACCAGCAAGTGCGTTTCAAGTGTCGTATATTTAGCCACCCGTCAACTGCAACGCATCGTAGAAGACTACAAAACATATTCCAGTTGCGCTACCGGCACAATGGCACAAGACAAACGATAAATGTAGCCATTTCTCAGAGGAGCGAAAACCCCATGTGTCATAGAAAGGCTTCTACGTGACTGTTTGCCACACGACAGTGAAACCGATATTTCAAATTCTTCGAGTTGGAATTTTAGCATTTTTTGTTATTAATGACCAGGCTCAGAACCATAAACTAGCTACACTTGAAAGTCCAGTTTAATTATGGGCGGCTAAAAGCCAGATTTCGAACTCTGCTCAGCGCTCCGCTCTCCGCAAAGCAAAATTACCAATTGTGCGCATTATAACGCACACGCACTACACGGACAAGTCTACGTTCAGCTGGGAGTTAAATGGACTTCGTGAACGCGTGAAAATAATCGCCGTCTCATTCGCAGAACCATTTAAACCGCAGATTAAAGTGTCAAATGACAAGTTTTGTATTAAATACGAGGTCATTGAAGAGGTCATTTAATTGCTCCGTTAGGGCTGAAGACAACAGTAATAAGCCATTAAACCAGGTTCCACAATCTTCGTGGTAACTGCTCAAACACACGTGGAGGAGTATAAATGGGAGCCCATCAGCAGGTATGCGGGGTTAAATTAGGCGAGACGTAAACGAATTAGTTCAAGGAGAGCGAGGATGTAATGGGCAGCCAAACGAAGGTCGGGCTCTCGACCTGACGAGCACAAGATCCTCGCTCTGTTGACATAAGTGTTTAACATCTAGGACGACACGCACGCGAATTACATTTTACTGCGACCACACGGCAGGGCGCAAAGGCCAGCGATACGCCCGGCACGGCCACATTGTGTTGGGTGGAGGGGGGGGGTTTGAAACTGGCACATGCTTCCATAAGCTGAGATTGCTACAAATATTTGCTCTCATGTCACCTTGAGGCAAGTTCACGTGTCAATATAGCCTCAGGGCAGAGTTTTACAATATTGAACTGGAATTTGCTCTGCGTTCAAGGCTTCAACAGTCTTACGTTGAAGATTGATAGGCACCCATGACGTCAAAGGTGTTCCTGGGTGTTTCACCCGTTCACACGCTACCACGACTTGTCCTCTGTGACCGCGCTCACCGCTGATGAGGAGCAAGGGCACGAGTCAAAGTTCTGCTCGTCTCGGGACTGCCACAGGGTGACAGCATGGACCTCGAATATAATGCTTCGGAGAGTCATAGAGGATTCACTTGACACACAAAGTGAGTAACCGGAGCATCTTCAGATTCAATTCTTCAGTTAAGTAATACCTGATGCGAAAAGGGACTTGCATTTAACTTCCTTGTATTTAAAGTCTGTAACAAGAGATAATGATGGGGATTCTATGCAAGCCTAACTCGTCGGTTTTTTGTTCAGTCAATATTTTAATCTTGATCAAAAATATTTGGCTCTGCTCTTTGTACAAACAACACACACATTGTGGAGTTGAAAACGATTACTAAATAAGAAACCCATCGAAAGTCTTAATTTTTTACGTGACCGTTAATAACCATGTATGCATGTTGGACTTCTTTCGCACCGTACATAGCAAACCGTGCCAACCAGGCCACGCTTCAAAGAATGGGGGCTTATGACCAGTGGTTAAAATTAAAGCATCACTCAAGCCTTGTCTATTCCTTGGACTGTAGCAGCTACACCCATGCAAGTAGTAAATAATGCTCATGCATTTCTGTTAACTCAAGCAAAGCTTTTATAATTAATTTACCTCTACGACACACTTAAATGCACTTACTATTGGCCCCGGCAGCCAGGCGGCTCGGCTCCATGCAGGCTCTATAGGGATTGGCCAGGCACTGGCCTCCACAGCTGCAACAACCCTGGTGGAGCGCGGCACGTGCCGGCAACTCCTCTAGCACCACGGGGAGCACCACCGTTGAGCTACGGCGCAGCTCGTCCCAACTTTCGTCGTCGCCGCCGCTACCGTCACCACAATCGGCTCCGGCCGTCGAGCTACGGCGGTCTCCGGCAGGGGCTTCCCGCCCGCGGGAAGGTGCCGCGCCGCCTTTGCCCGCGGCCAGGCTACGGGGCCGCTCGGTTGCGTACTCGGTGGGGGCGGTGCCATCGGTAGGGGGGGGGCTGGTGGGGATCGAGGCGCGCTTCTGGAGCAGGTTCGCACGCGAGCAAGTCAGGGAGGCCCGGTGGGCGCCAAGCCAATGGCCTTGAAGGTGGCGCGGGTGTGGACCAGGGATGGAGGAGAAGGGGTGAGCAAGGTGCGGACAAGCGAAGTAGCCGGGTAGGGAGCCGGGGGAAAGGACGGAGGAATAATGGGTGGAAGGGGAAAGGTAGGGGCCACATGGGAGAGGAAAACAAGGGGTTGGACAACGGAAGAGGAGAATAAGGTTTAGGAAGGTGATTGTACAGGCACTGTCACGTTACATCGACGCAAATAAAATGGAGGTTTATTTTTTTCAAGTAAGGTCACCGGAGGGCTTTGTTGGTGAAACATTAACAAACCGTAAAGACATTTTTTAGCTGTAAATATCGAAAGATATTTCCGTGGCAGCTGCGGCCCATAATGCGCTGGGGCTTTCACCACAAAGATGAAAATTACATAATTGCATGACCGTTAACTTGCACTGTTGAATTGCACCGAGGACGCTTTAATCTGGAACAAACATTTCTGGCACTGGTATTTATAAAGCACTTAATCCAGGCCATGCGAGTAGGGATTTAAAAATGCTACAAAAAAAGGAGCAGTGGATAACTCATTACCTCCAAGCCTCAAGGGAACTTCATCTTCTCACTCGGAGAGAGAAAACATTCACCTAAGTTCTATTAAAATCTGTTACGAATTACGTTCTTTTAATGAAGTGCGATGTGGGATGTTCTCGACCCTCCATTTCCTCTGTGAAGGTCACTATGAGTGACTCTGTGTCACTTGCGTGGTATCAGCCGATAGATCTGGGGTCAATTATAACAGCAATGACAACAACAATGGGGTGGATGGGTGGGTGGCTCAGAGGTCAGAGCACTGAATTGGCACCACTGGAATCCTGGGTTTGGAATGTAGGCAGCTGTCCGTGATTTAACCAGGTCCAATTAGCAAAATATATGCACTTTATACATTGTATTCATTATTATATTATATTATTGGTCTCAGATCGGTCACCAATGACTGCACAAAAAAAACCCACAAGCCATTCAATTTGGGTCTGCACTGAATTTGGCTTCAATTCCAGGTCTGAGAATTAAATATTGCATAACTATTTTACATACAAAAGTTGGTTGTAGAAATGCTGCCTTCTACTGTGTGGATCATAGTTCATTTGAAGGGATTCCAGTGGTAGCTCTGCGATTACCACGTCTGTCAGCTACTATCTGTGAGACTTCGGAAAGGATATTTGAATATACAATGGACACCTGTGAATAAGAGCTCATTGGATTCCTCCAGTCTAAATACAGATTCTGATGCCGATATTTTATCTCAAGACATGACGATAGCACAATTGGGATAAAAAAAAATAACAGCATTGTCAAATGAATTTACAATCACATTGTGATTACAATTCATTACGAATGACACATTTACATTTGGAATCGACCCCAGGTCTGCTCAGCTACAACCAATAGTGTTGTCTAACAGAGGAGAGTAAGATGAAGTATCAGTCAAACGGAATGCTAAACTCCTCCAAGGAATTTCAACACCAGTGTTTTGGGAAAATAAGAATATTCCCTTGGACATGAAACAAGGCACCTTTCTTGCAACACAGATGAGTGGAGATCTCATGAGTAAGATCTTTACAGTGCCATGGGAATCCACACTGCCAGGCCATTACATATATTTGCGTGTACTCGAGCGGGGGAGTGAGGAGTGGTGGCACAATGGTTAGCTCACTGCACTATAAACTCAACGACCTAAATTATATTCATGGTCAAAGCTAACACCAGTGGTGAATGATATTGAACTGGTCCTGGGCCTCTTATCTAACATACCTTACCAACCCATACTTAGCAGAATGGTGAAGTATGGTCTGGTATGTATAGAAAAAAAATAACCCCATGACCGACAAGGCATGGGCAGTTTTTCATCCAACAGCGGACTAACAAAGTTATGCAACTTCTTGGTTCTTTCGGTAAAGTCACGTAGAAGAGAAATAATAAAAATAAAACATAATAAAATACAATTCTCACGACGTTTCGGCCACAACGCAAGCAGCCGTCCTCAGGTGAAGAACAGGTCTGTCAGAAAGACAGCGTCTGAATGAACACCACCAATTCGTGAGAATTGTATTTTATTATGATTTTTTTAAATTTTTTTATTATTTCCCTTCTATGTGACTTTACCGAAAGAACCAAGAAGATGAATCCCTGCAGTCACGAAAGCTTTAAATCGAAAAGTTATGCAAGTTGTTTTAAATAAGATTCCTTCTGACGGACTCTAGGTGGAACAACAGCCTCATCGTTTTTGAAGGGTTGTGTTATGACACTTGCACCAATTAAGCCTGTCTCCGTGGTGATAAATCACTAGCACAGGGTCAGGCGCCCTGCTGTTCTCCCTGGCCGTGTTTACAACACAATTACTCCACTGAATTCTCTAGGATCAATTTTCCTTCCCTTGCAAAGGTCATCAATAACACCATCCTGGGTTCACTGTCCATTTCCAATCGCATCTTGCTCAATACGCACGGCCCCAGTGTGAACCAATCATTCTGCCAAACCGCAGTGCAAGCAAAAACACATTTCACTTATGACCTTCGCAATTGGAATTTAAGGACAACAGGCACGGAGTCAATATATTATGTTACAACCACAAAAGTGCAAAAAAATTGGCTACATTAACTGTTTAATCATCATCATGATTTTCATCATGATTTTCTTCATTATTTTATGGTATTATAGATATTACAATTCATTTCATGTTTTTGTTCGTATAAGTGCCGCTTATTCATTTTTTTGGGGTAAAAGTCATGAGATAAATAAAAAATATGCAGGACCTTCCAAAACACATTATACTTCACAATTAGGATACCAATTATATTCTCGATCATCTGGAGGTGACAGATCCCATCCAATCAGAGTCAGTTAGAGTCAGAATCTTTATCCTGGAGAAATCAGGACACGACTGCAAACAACCAACGCATAAATCACAGCATACGATACCTACCGCCAGTGGCTGATACATTATGGAACACGAAAAGTTACTCAAATCGCACAAATAGATTTTTATGCAACAAAAAATATTTTTTCTAACATCTTATTGGCAGCCCAGCAACTGTAGGTATAAAATATCGGGTCGCAAGAACACATTAAACATCCTGTTACAAACATATTAAACATCCTGTTACAAATACATTATAGTCCCCCTTACACTCTACGTTGCATCAAGACAACGAAGCGGGGTCAACCAAGACGAGGCGGGTGTAAAGAGAAATCGTCCTGGTAGGCAGCGGCCAGCGAGCGGGCAAGTGCGGCAACATGTGGTGAGGGCAAGGGCAGGAGCGACTGGGCAAGGGGAGCAATGGGTGGTAGGCAAGAGCAGCGGGAGGGCGGGGGCAGCAGGTGGGCATTGGGTGAGGGGGGAAGAGGGGGCGGCAGGGGGAGCTGCGTGCTCCGTCTCACCGTTCTTCTCCAGCAGGTGCGTGTCCGAGTACTTCTTGCCCATGTCGGCGAGCGAGCGCACGATGGGGATGCGGTGGCTCAGCTTCTTCTCGCTCTGGTGGTGGTGGCGCTTGAGCAGCGCCTGGCGCACGCGGTCGCGCACGGCCACGTCCAGTTGCCCCGACGCGATCTGGTTGTCGAGCACCAGGTCTGACGCACACACGGCGACCGCGAGATGTTAACTCCCTCGCCTGGTATGCAGGAGGTTTTGCGTTCGATCCCGACCCCGACGCCTGCTGTATATTTGGAGTTTGCATGTTCTCCCCGTGGTCACGTGGATTTTTCACAAATTTACATTTAGAATCAACGTGCGTTTGAGATAAGCCACTTCATTGTGTCGTCAATTGTGGCCAGGTCGCTTCTGAAAAAGAGCTATATAGCTCAGTGGGCCTTACCTGGTAAAACCAATAAAATAGTTTAGTTTTAGTTTAGAACACGCGTGGCTTTGGCCACCTTTCTTATGGCGCACAGGGGCTGTCGCGAAGGTGCCACCGCAGGCGACGGGTAGAGGTACAGCCAGGCGAGCGTGAGCTCGCGCGCCAACCGACTGCCTGGCCAGGGGAAATATTATTGGCGAGCGCCTGTGAAAGGTGGCCAAGAGGTAGCCAGGAGATTGCAATGCAGCGACGGATTCCGAATCCATCTGTTGAGGTCTTGTGTATTATCTCCCTCGAACTCTGGTTGGCTTTTCACATACAAAACACCCATGCATGGAATTGGCCAAGCATCCCAATGCAGGACCCGCCTCAAGAAGAGTCTTGAGACAACAGTGAGGCTTTCCTAGATAAAGGGAATCATTATTATACATCATCATCCATCATAATTTTCGTGATCCACTATTGGATGACACTTCTGCAATTTGTCACCAAGTGAGCAGCAGTCTTACATAAATCTGAAGCTTCATTAATGAGAATCAAACACTTCAAAGTTATATTAAAGCTCATTGAGATATCACCAGCAATGCCACTTCATTGGCACATTGCAACATATCATTGTGACATCACTCAAGTGTTCTAATTGGCAAAATTGACCTAAACTTGCAAGTATTTTTCTCATCCACGAAGCTTAAACGTCTTGTCAGAAAGCTTAGGACACCCAGCCTAGGTGTGTAGCTACAAGATAAGAGCGTGTTTGGTTTTAAGATTACTATTTCGCTTAAAGCACACACAGTTAATTGGATGAGATAAGATTAATTTATATTGTCATTTGACAGATGTGGGTTGCACAAAATACCATCAAAGATACATACCGGTTTAAAAAGAACACTATTGTATTAATATTCTAAAAGTCCAATTGCAACAAGAACTTTGGCCCGACTTGCGAATGGCCTTGGAAAATAATGCCTATATTGCCATCATCATAAAGCTATTTAGTATGCACAGATAAAGATTGGTTATGGTATCTGCCCTCCAAAAGGATTTGTTATTTTATTGCAGTGTGCCAAGTACAGGTCCAAAGGCTCAAAATCCCAAGCAGCCATCAACAAAAAGCACCATTAAAGTTGTAATAGATAAGAGTAAATGGACTTCTTGAATTGCGCAAAGTTATACGAAATTGGAAAAAGAAACGACAGGGTTATTCCAAAGTGGAGGCAGTGCGAGGCGGAGAAGCAGAAAGAGAAGCAGTTTAGACCTATGGTGTGGCGGTGATGGTTGAGAAAAAAACAGTCAGTATCTGGTAGACCGAGTCCTTGATATAGGTGGAGGGATTTAAGCGTACATTTCAGAGGAACTGTAACCACGATGGTAGCGATAGAAGAGTCAAAAGGAGGCACGAGAACGCCGGTGAGCGAGTGAACTTGAGTGAATCGGTAAGCTCTGGCTCATCCACCAACTTGACTGCCGTACGCCGATCTCTTCACAGCAGAATATCCCCGTGAACCGACAATTACCGTGGCACCAGAATAATAATAACGCTTCATCCAACAGTGTTTCCACGAGCGATAATCTCAGCCATCGATACAACGTTGAGAGCAGAACTGAACCCAGGAAAGCACAATTCCATGGCGTGTGTAGGGGGTGCTGTAAACTTAGCTCTGAATTGGGGTATAAAGGCAAAGGACTACCACTGCAGCAAAAGTCAAGAACCCCTTGATAAACCGCATGTGCACACATCTTTTACGCGATAGGGCATTTTCATCATACATTTGAAACCAGTAGATACTTAAAAGTATGTGACTAACGTTTAAACTGAACAAAAACATATTTAAGGATGACCAGAAAGAAAAACACGCACGGCCTTTTTGCCAATCCACTGTTAGATGAAGGGCCTTCTTATAGCCAAGCGGGTTTTGGGCGGTTATTTGAACATACTTCACCAAGCTGATCACTGTGGGTTGGTGAAGGCGTTGAGCATAGATGTTAGTGTGCAGTACAGCGCAACAATATATTTTTCTACCATATCATTTGCTGGCCACGTCGCCCTGCCACAGCATATAATTTATTTTATGCACGGTGGCCGCCCATACAAGCACTATCCAGGCTCAACTCAGCTTAGCTTCAGACATCTGACGATACCGGGCACATTCTGGAAAATGTGTTAAAAACAAGCAGAATTTGTATTATTATCATCATCATCATCAATAAAACATGAATAGAGATTCCTTTAAGTTTTCCCATGAGATTTTAGTCAAAATAAATTCCGCTTCACGTCATGAAGATAAATGGTGTCGACACAACCGTGAATTTCACGGCAGAACGGTGGCCGATTGTTGAAGCGCAATCAACAACCGTGTAACTCGTTACCCCGCGAAGCACACGGCCAACTCTTGCGCACAAAGAGAGGATTCTGGTCTCCTGAGTTCACACTTGGTTAAACAAATAAACCCGAGTTGACATGAACCTCGAGTTCATTCACCCTTACTCCGTGAGCGTGTCTGGGGTCACCTTGGGCCAATGCGTCCCCCCCCCCCCTTCGCTTACTTACTTATCGATTTCAAATATTTTGCCAAGATACAATCCCGAGGTGTGACATCTCATTTACAGTGCCGTCCTGAAAACGACACACATAAGGGTCCACATGCCATTTTGTACGCTTTGTGAAATCAGTTTTTATTCTCCGATTCTTTTGATGCTGTTTTCTTTTTACGTTTCACGTGCACACAAGTGCACATTCAAAATAGGCTGCCTGCATGCACACTTGCTTTGAGATTCGTCGTGGTAGGCCTTTGCAGTTGGCAAAAAATAGACATCACCCACCAAATGTTGAGACTTAAGAACCTAATTGGTCAGGCGAGTAATCCGATTAAGCGTGCCGTAACCTAAACGGGTAGTTCTTCACGTCTCACGACCCTACTGTTCGCCTTTGACCAAATAATCTGGAATGGGCCCAGATCTCGTCAGATCTCGGATGCTGAGCAGGATCGAGCGGGGACGACGGCGCTTAGATGGGATGGGCGATTGCTCTGTGCACAAACAGGTTGCACTAGGGCTTGCGGGTCAACGAGGTGGGCAACAGATGGCAATGCAGAAAATACACGGTTGTACTGTACTTCTATGATACCATGCCTAATACTCGAGGCCTTAACCAAACCGCACTGGCCAGCGTGGTAAATTACGATCAAGCAACCCTCACAAGTGTGTGGAGGCCATCATCCAGCAGTGGATTGACAAAAATAGTCATACGTGTGCATCATGCTCTACACACACATGCACGCACACACACATGTCCGTGTTAATAAAGGCATTTTCAACAATTTCCACAACTTTTCAGTTCATCACAAAGGGTCTATTATTTCTAGCTGAACCGCACTATCGATAGAGCAGGAAACCTGGGCTACTGACAGAGGCAGTGACAGACGGCCAATGAGCGAACGCCGTTTCCCTGCCCCCCCTCGCATGTCCCACAAGCTACGGAATCAGAAGGCCTGATAACAACGCAAGCCAAGTCGAGCTGTACCTTAACACACTAAATAAATAAATACAACCATAACAATACACACTAACACCAAGGTTGAGATTACGGGATAAGCAACACCGAGCAGAGTTACTTTGCAACTGGACTTTCACGCGAGTCGATTCGTTATCATGCAGTCATATTCTAGTGGGTCCAAATTCTGCATTTAAATTCTTTCTTAGTAAATTGCCAAACCACACACAATGTGCACGATCTTGCAAGATCTCGGAAGCGGGAATGAGCCTGGATAGTGTTTAGAGGGGCAACCGCTATGCACAGGTGTTGTAGGCTGCTGCAGAGCTACGTTATGGACAGTAGGGTGCAGTGCAGTAAAACCTATTGTACGACACTAAGCTCCAACGTTTATGCTACTCACCTTCACCAACCTGCATTAACCAGCGAGGTGAATTATGGTAAAAAAATACCACATAACTCCTACGACGTGGGGCGGCCCATACCCGGTAGTTGACACCTCGCAGCCGCCCTCACCCAGCCCCCGTTATCCCAAACCCTCAACCCCTTGACCTTCCTCACCAGCGATCTCGTCTAGCGTGGTGGCCTTCATGTCGAGCATCACGGTGCCGTTCATGATGCAGCTGCGCAGCTCGAAGAGGCTGTGCAGAGACAACGTCGCCACGTACGGCTTGCTCCACCGCTCGCCACCGTCCTCCACATCCTCCTCAAACTTCAGCCACCTGTAGCACATCAAACACGGGGGGGGTGGTGTGGGGGGCATATGCTTCTGCACCATCAAACAGACCATCGCCGCTGTGTGACCCAGCAAAATTTGGGAGGGGTCTCTCCCTGGGCCCCCCGCGGACACCAAGCATCCTGTAAACGTACGTAATCAACGTCGCGTGTTCGACCAGTCCCGTTTGAGGCGCAGACGTTAACCAAAGTGTGCGGCGGGGTGCAACTCGTCCGCACGGGAAGCGGAATTAAAAGTGAAGATTACAACGATGTGGGCTCTGTCGGTAACAACTGCAGAGACACAAGTGCAGATGAAGAGACGAGCAAGTGGAGTGGTGGCCGAGGGGTTCAGAGGTCACAGCATGGAGCCAGCATTTCCTGCTACAGAGCGATTGACTACTAGCTACGAAAATTCTAAATGTAAATTCCTTCTTTTCGTGACACGCATATTTTTTAAACGCAAACGCGCGACCCTCCGCCGCGTGCGTGCCTTACCTCGCCGTTTCCCTCCACTCGCACTCCTCACCGTCGCGCATGCACAGCTCGTCCATCTCCGTGAAGAGGTCGTGGGCCACATGCTCCTCGTCGTCATCCTCCACGCCCAGGATGAACTGCACGCGCTGCGACGGCGTGTCTGTGCACGCAAGCGGGGCACAGGACGGCGGGATTCGTATTAGCGCTATGGTTCCCGCAATAGAATTTTTTTCCCAACAGCGATATCACGTCACCATTGGGGCGGTGACGCGACCGAGCGGCAGCGTATCTGCCGCTTGTTGCAGAGGTTCGGAGGTCGAGCCCAACGTCAACCTTCGTTAATACTGCGGGTGTTTTAACCCATTCCAATGACGGACGTGTGCATCATCAGTTTTTATTCTGGTTCCGTTCTGATGACGTATGGAACCGAAAGGAAAAAAAAAACTAAAATGCATTTATCGGTACCGAGGCTCCCACAAGGCCATGCGGGAAGGCGTGTGGCACAGTTTGGTGCCAGCTATCATAGTGCGGTCGTGTCGCTACAATTCTCTGCGGTGAGTACAATGTCTTTAAAACCTCAAATATAATCAACGCCAACCGCTTGGGCGTTCCCAGATTTAGCGGTGAACGGGACCCACCCTGCAACTTGCAGATGTCTCGGAACGCGAAAGGGTGAACCATATATACGCGCCATCCTCTTCACATTAGACGTTTAAGATCCTGTGGCGTCCAAAAAGTTTAGGCCATGTGTGACGGCGGCGTCACAGTCCAAATTCTTTAGTTTACTCACAAATTACCTCATTGAGTAAAGCCACAGAGCAACATCGCCCCCTACTGTGACACTACCTCCGACGACAACCATGTGAAACATTGCACCTTCATAACAGCCTTGCACAGCAGGAATGCAACGAATACCAAATGTACGCATTATTTCATTTTATTAATTTACATGACATGGAGATTATCACGATATCAGTTTCCCATGACTTTACGTTGTTAATGTACTGTGCTTGAATGAACTTCTAGTAAGTATAAGTAGTTCTTCATCTGCAGATCACTTGATATTGGTGTGCAAAAGTTCTTATAAAATATCGGTTAGAACACACAAGCTAACCGTTATAACCACACCGTCAATTACTCCCGAAAACGTTTTTCAAGGCGGCGATTTATGGGGAAATGGTGCGATGCGCTGCATCGGCAGTAGTGCTCGAAGCAGGTGACGAATGTCGTCAAGCTTTAATTTAATAGGAAACAGCAATTGTTCAGAACTTAAATTATCGTGTTGGTACAGAAAATAAAATACTTAAAAGAATAAAACGAAGAAAGAAAATCACAATGATTGGTGAAACCTAAAATATGATTACCGTGGATCTTGTGTTTCATAATATAGCACAGTATCGCCACATCACGGCATCCATAACACTGGTCTACAATTGTTTTAGACGTCGTCTGCTTCAGAGATGAAATGTGCTGTTGATTATGGATTTTTACGTGCTGAATTCAAATGACAATGATTAAAATAACTTATTGGCTACTGTTCCCAAGATATTTAAGTTTTTTACATTTTACGTCTATGTATATTGTGTAGATAGTAGAGTTTTACTCATAAATTGTAAACCTGTGTCTTTTCATGTGTTTATGGTTGTTTTACATGATAACATGTCACCTGTCCTGTTCATGTAACACTTAAAAATCTGCAAAAGGGTTATACAAATAAAATGTATCTTGAACAAAAGGCAAAAAACTATTATTATATATAAGTACATAGTTTAGTCCTTATTCAGTGTCTACTTTTGGGTTTGTCTCTTGTATTCATTAAATGGAGCATCTCTTGTCTCTGTCCAGCAATAGTCTGCAAGCATTGATAGGCTCCATTCGCCCTGATAGCGTTTCTCCATTGTCGCAATGTCCTGGTGACATCGCTCGCCATGCTCTTCGCTCACTGCTCCGCAGTTCAGTAGGAAAAATCTCGATGAGTGCCAAAAATGTTATCTTTAGTGACATGTTGCAACCAAGGCTTTTGTATGCCTTGATGCGGTTTTCCACCAACTCCCTGTAGTTGTCTGGCTTGTTGTTTCTAAGAAAATGTGTTGCCACTAACTGGAAGACGATAATTGGTTCTTTACCCTTCTATCTGGCAACAAAACTGACACCTTTTTGCAAGGAGTCATGTTTGCATAGACCGCAATACCTGCAGTCATAATACAAACAAAAGAACATAACTCTGATAATGTGCACTGTCCTTGAAGTTGATTGGTCCACACCCGAGACAGCTTTCCTTCGAGCCTAGTCTCATATGGGTTGGACCAGATGACGCCAAAAGGCGCACAACTCAAGGACAATGCACCATCAGAGTATGAGAGCTCGGGGCAAGCATCTACACTATGGGGACCTCATTTGCCAGTAAAAATATGATAATTGGTTCTTTACCCTTCTATCTGGCAACAAAACTGACACCTTTTTGCAAGGAGTCAAACATGACACCTTTTTGCAAGGAGTCAAACATGACTCCTTGCAAAAAGGTGTCAGTTTTGTTGCCAGATAGAAGGGTAAAGAACCAATTATCATATTTTTACTGGCAAATGAGGTCCCCATAGTGTAGATGCTTGCCCCGAGCTCTCATACTCTGATGGTGCATTGTCCTTGAGTTGTGCGCCTTTTGGCGTCATCTGGTCCAACCCATATGAGACTAGGCTCGAAGGAAAGCTGTCTCGGGTGTGGACCAATCAACTTCAAGGACAGTGCACATTATCAGAGTTATGTTCTTTTGTTTGTATTATGACTGCAGGTATTGCGGTCTATGCAAACATGACTCCTTGCAAAAAGGTGTCAGTTTTGTTGCCAGATAGAAGGGTAAAGAACCAATTATCATATTTTTACTGGCAAATGAGGTCCCCATAGTGTAACTGGAAGACGTTCCATGCCCTCTTTTCCTTGCCACACAGTGCACTGTCAAATGCATCATCTCGAAGAAGTTCCCGAATCGGAGGGCCAACAGAGACACATTCCTTTATCTTAGCTTCACTTAACCTTGGAAATTTTCCACGGAGGTACTTGAAAGCTGCTTGTGTTTTGTCCATTGCTTTGACAAACTTCTTCATCAGACTCAGCTTGATGTGTAAGGGTGGTAACAAAATCTTCCTTGATTCAACAAGTGGTGGATGCTGAACACTTTTCCTTCCAGGCTCCAATCACTGTCAGAGTGGTCAATCTATCTTGATGTAGTGGGAATCTCTCGCACGACTATCCCATTCGCAGAGAAAACTTTGTGCATCTAGTCTGCAGACCAAGCAAGAGAGCAACAACCTTCAAATCACCACCAAGCTGCCCCTGATGTTAGTCATAGTTTATGCACCTCAAAAGTTGTTTCATGTTGTCATAGGTTTCCTTCATATGGACTGCATGACCAACTGGAATTGATGGCAAAACATTTTCATTATGCAGCAAAACAGCTTTAAGACTCAACTTCGATGAATCAATTAACAGTCTCCACTCATTTGGATCATGAACGATGTTGAGGGCTGCCATCACACCATCGATGTTGTTGCAGGCTACAAGATCACCTTCCATAAAGAAGAATAGGACAAGATCCTTTTGACAGTCACGGAACATGGAAACCCTAACATCACCTGCCAGAAGATTCCACTGCTGCAGTCTGGAGCCCAACAGCTCTGCCTTACTCTTGGGTAGTTCCAAATCCCTGACAAGGTCTTTCAGTTCACCTTGTGTTATGAGGTGTGGTTTAGAAAAGGAGGATGGGAGAAAATCTGGGTCACGTGACCATGATGGTTCAGGACCAGAAGCTGCATCCTCTTCCTCGTCTGACTCAAGTGAGAATGATTCTGGTGCATCAGGAACCGGCAGCCCTTCTCCGTGGGGTACTGGGCGAATAGCTGATTGAATGTTTGGATAATGCACAGTCAACTTTTTCTTCTTTGGCACACCTTTCCAAACTGGAGGCGCCATGCATAAGTAACAATTGCTGATATGATATGTTGGCTCTCTCCAAATCATTGACACTGCAAAAGGCATAGATTTCCTTTTCCTGTTCAACTACTGGCGAAGATTTGTTGCACAAATGTCGAAGCATACATGTGGGGCCCACATCGTCCTGATCTCCAATTTTGCAGCCAAAATAAAGGTGATAGGCTTTATTAACCATAGTGGTTATACTGCGCTGTTGTGATACAAATGTCACTTCACCCCAAACATAGCAGAAGTTATCTGCTATGTTTGTGTTATCGTATATACCGACTCGGTAGTATATCTGAAAACTAGAGCCAATCAACAATCTTAAGCATCATTTTCATTCTCAATGACCCATAATTAGTAAAGTTGGACTACATTTATTTCGGAAGCATTTTGGCTGTAGACCAGTGTAATTAGCGCCGCGCGCCGTGACCAGCGCTGGATGAGGTTTGAGGGAGGCCCCGGGGCTGCTCTGGTTTGGCGAGCCCCCCCTCTCTCTACTAAATTCCTTCCCTTGACTGTTTTACTGCTACCGATGCTCGATGCCAAATGATCCACTGTTACTCATTTTGGTTATGTCAATTCCAGTATTTATATGCGATGTACGAAAATGTCAAAGCTGAAAGAAATGAAACTATTTTAATTATTGAACACACATACTGATACTATGATTTTAATAACCAAATTACCTGCAGGCTTTATTATAGGAATGCGGTATTGCGTTTCATCCACTAAAAAGCAGTGGTGTAGATATTTTTTACGGGTGCCTCAAAATCTAAAGCCCCTGTGTTCATTGGGAGGCAGGGTGGCGCAGTGGTAGTAACACTTGTGCCTCACAGCAAGAGGGGCCTGGGTTCGATTCCCAACTTGGGTGCCTTTCTATAGTAGGGAGTTTTATGTTCTCTTCCTGTTTTTCATGGATTCTTGAGTTTCCTCCCATAGCTAAAAAAAACAGGCAATATTACTGGCATTGTCTAAACATCCCAACGCGGAAATATTGCTTGTAAATGACTCAACTAGGATTATACATAGCAACATTTCCTCCTATTGCAAACAGTTGGCTGGACCTTCCTGAAAAATACGTCTCAAGTTTCCTGGGTAAAAAGACAAAATAATATTAACAGCATATTTGTTGCTGCTTTCCCACCCCACCGCAGGTGGGAGTTCGTGTCACCATACTCCCATATCACA